ATTAAGTTAAATAAAAAAGCAATATTACACAGGGAGTGAGGAAGGAAAATCATAAAGGATATATATAATACAAAAAGTTGGAGAAGTAAGAAAATAGTTTTAAGTAACCAGCAGGTAGAATCAAGTCCATGCATTGCATAAAGGCAGACAACCTGCACAGCTGTTCTTGTTTATATGAACAATTCAAGAATCATCCACAACAAATTCAGCGAAGTAAAGTGCTGTGAAATTGTAAATATAGCATACGATTAAACCAACATTGGTGTTACGATCAGACTTTGTTCATTTTAGCCTAATTACTCTGTATAACTGTCCCCTTACCCAGCGATAGCCTCAATTCTGTAGTATCTGTCCTTTTCTCAATTCATAGCTTTTAGTAACATGACTGGCACAGAGACCTTGGGGTGTTAAAAAGCTTTGACAAGTGGCGGCCCCCTTTGAAAACTCTGTGGAGCTGCTGCACAGACTGGTATGTTTTTCATCCGTCCAAAATGAAACACGTTTACATCACCTGACAATCACTACTTACTCAGCACAAGGAACACTGTTTCAATTTAGAAAAAAGTTTTCAAGAACTTTCGATGTTAACATATGTGTAGAGGAGAATCCTTTCTCTTACACAACCACCAGGATGAGAGCCTTCAACAGTACAGACAATTTTATTTGGCTGGGCTCAGCAAGTGAAGGGCAAGAAATCTTCCTGTCTACAGCATAGGGTGAGTGCTAATTAGCTAACAGCTAAATACATTTACCTAGTAACAGTTTGTCGGATGTCACTTTTAGCCAGTGTTCTGGGTCAGTAATGTCATTTTAAATGCAGTAATATTTTGATCAAGTCAACACAATTTTCTCAGCAGCATTAAGAGAAGTCTGTTCTTTTGTTCCCTCACAGGGACAGCAGAGCGTCTAACAGCATTCATCCACAATCTCCTCCTCTCTGGGTTTTCTTTCTCAGGTGGTATTCTTTAGTATTACAACCCAGGTTATAAAAAGTAAAGACATAAACTTAAACAAGTAGCTGGCAACTGAGACATGTAACTTCTCTGGTGGGCAGCCATAGGATAGCCATAAGTGTGTGACGTCATGTTAAAAGTATCCCATGCTGGCATCTACACTAGCTACTGACATGTAACTCATGCAACCACAACAACTATCCCTTTAAGGAACTCTGAGTCGGTATGTGTTTAATTTGTCTCTGAAAGAAGAAGCATAACTCTACCTAATTTTTCACCATTTTATAATGTGGAATGTAGTATTTTGTTCAATAAAAATCTGTGTTACAAATAATATAATCTTCCAGGAGATATATTATACTGAGTTAGTAGGAGGGGTTAAATCAAAACAACTTCAAAAAAATAGTTTGCTGATGAATACAATCTAATCTATTCATTACATTCAGGAATAAGAATTATTTTTATTCATCGATGCAACTGGAAGGGCCGAATCAAATTAATTATTTAGATTTACAACCCATTGTCTCTCACACACTAGTCAAAGATTTGCCCTTTATTTTGCACACAAATGAGTAAAACAAGGAAATTACCATTCATAAGTACATTCATTACATACTGATGAAGAACTGAAACATTATACAACAATATACACGGGAGACCAAGTGTTTTTTGATTGACCTGTGCTTTAACTCTCTAAAGGTTACAGGCATCTTCCTGACAAACTGATCAAAAATAGAGTAGCAATAGTTTCCCTTATAAGATTCAGGTCAAATCTAATCCCAATACTCTGATTCTGCTTGGCAAGATATATGTACCTGTGAGTTACCCAGTGGGCCTGCTGCACCTTCTGAAGGATATACACTCAAACACCTCTCCTGAAAATCAATGCAAGCATGATTGATGTGCTTAATGTTAAGGAAGAGAGAGTTGCCATACATCAGGTTTTCTCGCAGCATTGCCAGTTCTTGTTCAATAATCCGGTCACGGGGCAAAGACTCTGACGCAAGCAGGAAACAAACATCTCTAGAGATGATTTGTTAAAATACAGACAGACGGAGACCAAGACAGCTGCGGGTTGATGGGAGGAAATAAGGAAATGCGAGCAGAAATTAAATCGACTTCCCTCGAGGAAGTTTTTTCCCTTTGCGCTTGAGAGAGGTAGAACTAAAGTGAACAAATTAATAAATAAAAAGGTGGCTTTTGTCAGGGGCTTTTTGACATCCCCGAACAGTTTGGAGTAGCAGGCAGACGAGGGATGCTCGTTAACTGTGACCCAAATCATAAGAGACACTGGGAGCTGTTAAAACACAGAGCAGATTGGGGAGTCTGGGTGACCTAGATAGCATTAGTTTTGACAAGTAGCCGTACATCACATTAAATCGCTCTTGCGTCTAATACAATGAGGCATATCTTCTTTGTTGGTAATGAAAATTACCTTGCAATAAGGCTCTTTGTGACATGGAAAATACCTTTCCCATCGAGGACACTCCAAGGCTCCTTCTTGAGGAGTGCGTCTGTGGTGATCTCCTCTACGTGCAGACCTGGCTGACTTTATCTGCCTTGCGAGCACACATGAGAGGTGACACATGGTCTAGACGACAGTGCACAAGGAGAGCCGGTGGTGATGAGGAGACCACAAAGAGCTGTTGCTCAAGGAAAGAAACGAGTCGAAACATCAGAGCTCATTGTGAAATAATGGACGGGTTGACGGACATGTCTACAAGAGGAGAAGGAGGCTATGAAGAGTCTATTTCATGGATTTGCTTTATTAAACAGGAATGCACAAAGCTATGAAGCTGTAGATTAGAGAAATGTCCATCTGGGAGGGATGCTGAACTCAAATTACTAAAAGAAAGGACATTTTCCAGTTTCATCTAGCAATTTAAGTTGAGCTCAGTTTGTGAGCTCTGAACTCCATATTTTACTTGTGGATGGGAAAACATATTTAAATGCTGATTAAGGCTAACTCTGGAGAAAAATATTAGGCAGACGGGAGTTACATCAAACACGCGATAATGCCTCAAAGAAACAATCTGCCTCTGCATCAATGACACAATTGTAACATTTGGACTATTCTCCCCTGGTTTGCTTGGACCTGAAACAAAACACACAAAGCATTGTGAAAGGAATTCCATCCATGGTGCTCCAAAGACAAAAAAATGACGTTTAAAAATTCAACATGCCATCTCTGTCTGCAGATAGTGTCCCACTTACTGTGGATAATCCACAATCTTTATTAAATAGCTTTCTTGGGACCATAAAGTAGTTCCAATGAAAACTCCTCTCATGAAGGTCTGTGGATTATCCAGATTTAAAAAGGACTCTCTGCTTTTTTAAATTACATTTGCTGTTCAGTTTGTGAAAGTCATGTCAATAAGAGCAGCACATGTTAAATCTTATTTTTTCTGTATTGTGTTTTTCAGGGTTGATAAAAAAGAACCAATTTAGACAAAGACACAGCTAGGGTTGGGAAAAACATAGATACAGCAATGTATATTGTAATCCTGACTAATGTGATGCAATCTTTAAACACTGGTGTGATAACATATATTTTAAATGAACTTAAAAACGCTGCTCTAAACAGATTTCCCTGACATAAGGACTCACTGCTAGGGATGGGTAACCAGAATCAGTATCATTGTTTTATTGGTTCATGATTGGTCAGAACCAAAAGAATAGTTAAGCCCAAGGACAAACATTGCTTTTGCCAGTATCCTTTTATTTAACCCAGGGCTTTCCATAAGCACCGGCTGTCAAACCTCAGACTAGTCATATAGGAGACTTCATCCATTATGCTGCTACAAGTCCTATTGGCTCAGACATCACAGCGTTCCTCTTACAGGGTCTAGATACATATCTCTGTTTCATATTGATACATGTATTTAAGTTAAAAAGAGAGACAACAGGAGCACTTCTGGTATCCCTCTAACCACATATATTTATGTTGTTTTGTCATTTACATTTTTCATATGTTATATAAACTAATGGATATGCCAACCAAATTGTCTTTTACATTTCTTACTGTCCAAACCATTTAAGTTCAAATCAATCAGAATGTTTGGAGGGCAGCAGACAAATAATGTAAAAAATAATTGGCAATTTCCCTTAAAAGCTGAAGAAATGAGCCCAGTTTGAAATGTAAGGAGTAGATAGAACTGAAATTGGTTGAAATGTAGGGGTAATGTTAAAAATATTTAGAAGAATAAATACTTGAGGAACAGATACCTGAAAATCCTTTGGTGATGTAGTAGTCTAATTGTAGTTTCATTTCTCAAATCTCCCCTATTAAAAATAAAACTAACTATGAAAATAAAGTGAGCCTTAAATATATCTTAAAGAAAATAAAAATGACCTTTTAATTTCCTCACTTTCACCTCCCTCAATGTCACACAATGTCACACAGGGTAATGTGTGCCTGGTTGTCTATGTGCTGCAGCTCTTTTTAGGAAGGGAGAGGCTGAAGGCCTCTTTCTCCAACAATGGCCCGTCACCATGCCAACACAAGCAGTGCCAGCCGCTGTGCCAGCTTGGCACAGCTTCCGTGTTAGCAGTGGATGATTCAAGGGCATTAAAGCACAATGTGTGGGGGTTCCAGTTTATGGACACTTGTGCCAGGATGTCCACCAGAGTTTGCTTTGAAACAGCCTGCCATTAACCGCTCTCTAATACTTCCCCTCCTCTCGCGCTGTCAGCCTGAGCTCTGACCATTTTCAATCCATCTTCTGAAAATCTCTCTGCATGCACAGATGCATTGGTCATGCTTTAATGTTTTACATTTACTCAAGAAGTACATATAACAAGAGAGATTTGCTACAGGTCTTCTTGGTGGGTGGGCACTGACAGGACACATGTGCTACTCTCTCCTTAAAGATTGATGATCCAGAAGAGACAACATCTTTGCTGATTTGTTAAATTGGTGCCTGCCATTTTGTGTCTTAAATTAATATTGTTATGATTGATCAAAGGGCATGTGTTTGGCATTTTAATTCTTATCCACCTCCTGCTTAATATTGACTGACATACCTGTCTCTTTCTCTCGCCTTGCAGTGCTTGGAGAGAGTGACTGTGATGGGCTGTCGGACTGCATGTGAAGTGCTCTCCCAAAGAATAATATCCACTCCTGACCTACTCTGAAGAACAATATATCTTTCAATCAATGCCACAGACTCCCTCGGGGGGGAATTACACCAGAGTAATAGGCATACACTCGGAAAAGAGCAACAGTGGACCATGTGATACTTGACCTTCACGAGAGAACTCAGGTACACTCCAGAAGATGTCAAACCTGTTCTGAGGCTGCTCTCCAAAGCATCCCCGAGCTCATAATTCAATCAATCTTTCACATATTTTCTTTAAGCAATACTCAAACAAAATGCGCCACAAGTGACGGAGCGTAGATTTCAATGCTGGGTCTTCATTTATTGAGGAGCACCAGGCGTCTCACCATGGATTTGGACGAGATTTTCTCTACCAAAGAGTGACTGAGAGAAGGACTGGAGTGGTGGGAAGTAGACACTGGGAGTTTGGAGGAGGATTGATTACGTGCTGCTAACCCATGCTGGGTCTGCTGTGAGCAGGACGAGGGACTCAGCAGTGGAGGATGTCAGCGGAGGCCGAGATCCAGGCGGGTGTCAAAACCAGCCAGCGAAGGGAGTCCAGGAGGGTCAAAAGTAAGTCTAATTCTGATTACCAAGACCTCTTAATAATTCTGTCTAACAGATACATGGAAAATATTGGATTTATCTTTATCTCGTGGATTGAAAAATGATCCTAAAAGATGACAGAAAACAGATATACTGGTTTAACGACAGAATGGGAGACAAGCAGCTTTCTAATGTTTGGCAGAGGGATGCGTTCATTAAAGCTCCTCTGAGGAGTTTTTTTTAACTGTTTATGAAACAGACTGAAATTAATACTAATGACGAAATAACTAAAAAAAATCATCGACAACATTGAATGTTTCTTTATAGTAATTTTTAATGCCAGAAACCTGTGAGACAGGGTAGGTGTGATAGTAAACGAAACAGCCTTTGTTTCCAATTTCCTGTTAAGGATCCTTAATGGGTTTATACATTTGACACGTAAAAGATGTTTACACAGTGTTCATGGCCCTACAATGTACTTTTAGTCTAGGATGAGGCTCCATTCTTAAATGCAGGTTACACTGTACAAAAGATTGCTTATTCCGACAATGCTGTTGGCAAGCCTAAATATATTTTTGGAGATTCAAAGAGTTTCTGAAGTGGTTGTCCTACACTCTTTGAACAGATTTGCATTCGGTGGAGAAGTTTAGACTTTGAAATAGTGAATATGTACCATGAAGGGTTACAGTGATGTAGGGGTCACATTATCTCAGAAATAACAAACTAAAGTAGAATTTGTCTACTCGCCCACAAAGATCCAGGAAACAAACACTTTGTTTTGCTGTTTCACAAACAAGTTCAATGGGGTCTTTCCAATGGTCAATCTAACGTTTTTTAGATTATTAGGAAAAGGCCTGCTAGAATTTTTCATCAAGCAGATTTCTTCTTATAAATATTTGAGATATACGTAACTATCAGGATTATCCTATGCCTGAAATGTTGTGGACTGATTTTTGGGTGCTGTAAAGATGACAGGAACAAGTAGAGAAGATTGTCAGGACAAAATGGGATGAAACTGTTTTCTCATGTTCCCCAGGCTGCTAACATAACCTTCAGTCATGTTTGCATGGAGCTAAATAATGCTGAACTACATGAGAAGAATATTTTCACTCAGTCATGTCCATAGAGAGGCTCCCTGTCTCTTCCAGGGGATCCAGATGTAGTAACAGCTATTCCATGTAGCCCCGGGGTTTGGAAGTGCCATGATTTAGGTGTCATGGACAGGGTAATTCACACCCTGTCGCTTTGATGAACAGCATTAGTGATGTAATAGGACGAGGCATGGGCTGGGAGATTGAAATGGGATTGAATTGGCTGAGAGGAGGAAAGAAGACCATAAAGAGAGGTAGAAAGAGTGAGATTCATTGGGAGCAGGAAGGAACTAAAGAAGAAGAAGAATAGGATGCTTTTGCCCTGCTCGCTTTCCCTCATTTCTCCATGAATAAAGCCACTCCAGCTAGTCCAGTAAATCTGGCTTTTGCGGGCCACGGGGCCAGGTCCTCTGTAGCGGTTTCACTAGCCCTGTCGGCTCGCTCAGATAAATGGTCAAGCTGGAGGAGCGCCCATTGATTTGAGTTAAGTGGAGGGGGGAGAACAGCACGAGGGGCTATTATACACATGGCCATGCGGCTCATCAGAGGGGGCTATCAGCCCAGGCTATCAGCCCCGGCTATCAGCCCCTGACTTTAGCATGTTAATCACATTTGCTGCAGGGACCATTGTCACAATCAGCAAAGATGCCATTTAGATCCATATGAATGGAAATTTGGCAACAGTAATGCATGCAGAATATTGCTCAGCCGCTTGTGTTGGTTGTGAGCTGGGTCTGGGGCCAAGTAAAGGACACTGTGGCTCAGATTTAAGAACCTTAGAACCTCGCATGAAGCTGTGTTTATATTTTTCTGGTCAGAAGAAACAAGCAAAACCGGTGTCATTCCAAAGATAAGGTTGGAATGACACCAAGGTTGCCATTTTTCACATCTCCTCTGCAGTTCCCGTCAGAAGACCCAAACTGTTGAAACCTTGCTTCTTGATAGTGTCTGATCAGCCTTAAAGTCTGTTACAGTCAAGCAAACGGCCCACCACCCGTCATGAATATGGAAATCTTTCTTTTGGTGAAAGGTCAAATAGCATAATAATTTGGCTAAATAAATTCTGAAAAGCAGATGCAATCATACTCAAACAGAAGTTAATAGTTCAGTATTTACAGCAGTAAGATAATGTACATGCCGTTACCTAACAAACCTTGCAAATGTACAGTATGACCTAGGGTAGCTGTATACCCCTGCTTCTAATCTTTATGCTTATGTAAGCGCACACCGAGTTTAGTTTTACACATTGCACAAAACGATGTGGGCCGTCCTCATGGTCAATAAGCATATTTGCCCAAATGCTCAAATGAATATCTGTAGAAGTCCAAAATGACTAATGTCCCCCCAATAACCTCTCAATGACACATTAGGAGAGTTTAAAAAATAGCCCTTACCAATCTCATACAATGTCAATTAACACATTGCCCTTGAAACATACAGATGTCTCAATCACCAAGAGCTAACCCCCAGAAATAATGTTTTAAAACCCATATTGACTTCAAAGCCAAAGGATTCACAAAGGCTTGCATTTGAAGATTCAACATGTTGATAAGACAACACAAGGCTAACTAAAAGACTTGATGCTCTTCCTTTGGTAAAGGCTCAACATCTCATCAGACCTTCATTCCCTGAGCCAACAAGGAATAACTCAACAAGGACTACACCTGTGCCTTTCTATCATACTTGAATATCTGACACTAGTTATAATTGTTACCTGTAATACTATTTTTCTACATTCTGTATTTTTGCACGGACACATGTCAACCAAACAATTTCATTGTTAACTTTAAGGCTTTTAATGATAAGGGTATCAAGAGTATTTACTGCCCATTCTTAGTGGTTACTCACTTAGAGATTGGATTTTAAGAGCGAAATGGCACATTTAGTGTGATCCTTCCCACACTTGCTTACATTTTGTTTTTGGGATGTTTGTAAGTGTATCTGCTAACTTGAATCCTTTGTAAATAACATCTGGAAAAACAAATCTAACTGCAGCAAACTCTGCCTGCCACAGTAAAGCCAAAGCTCCCCTCTATCCATCAACTGAATTGCTTTACTTGCATGACTTTACTCTATCTCCATAGCAACTGTTGCTCTCCCAGTGTAATCTGTGCACAAAAAAATTATTCATTTCAAAAAGAGAGACAAGGAATGGAGGACAGAGAGAGACAGGGAAAGAAAGCGAGAAGGACAGAGAAGTAGAAACATGACATAGAAAGAGGCAGGGAAGCAAACAGCAGATTAAATCACCAGTCAGATCTCGCACTGCATGTGTGACACTGGAGAGAGTGTAAGAGACAGTACAAATACTCACAATTTCACCCTTTTCAAACTGTATTTTCATTCTTACCAAATCATGTGTTGCTTTGCCTATTAAACTATGCAATACACTGCTTAACAAGAATGAAATAGGAGCGTTGTAGAGCCTCCATCTAACAGACAATCGCTCTCATCAACATGGAACAAACATAAATATACCGGCATGTAACTCAGTGATTTAGTGGTATAAAATCACATAGCACATGTGAAAAATGCTGCTCATTTGTTCCCTAACTCCTAAACCACGAGTCATTAAACCAAAATTTCAATATTATGCTTGATACCAAAGTTGGTAAGGAATTTTGACATCAATATGTCCCTGTTGACAGGGGCGCATCCAGGGGGCTGCGGTTGTATTGGCCACCCTAGATGCCACCACATAGCCGCAAACTATGATAGGCTATCTTCTTAAGTTTAAACCAACTTAAGTTCAAACCAACTTAATTATCAAATAATATTTCAACGGGCTGCTAGTAGTAGCTAGTAGTGGTAGTAATATTTGTACTACATCTTCATACTGGATAAAAGTGGAGACAGAACTGTTAGATTCATGCCGTGGGAGTTGTCTTTGTGCATTTCCCCATAGCATTTCATGCCACCCCAGCATATTTCAATGCCCAAGTTGTGCCACTCCAGTCACAAAAGTCTGGACCCACCCCTGCCGAATGAGAGAACACACGTGCCGCTACTAATGTTTGTATGTGTGTATCTGCGTGTTTGCTGAGGCTTATGGAAGTTATTTTGTGCACATGGGGGAGGCAGATGGCGAGGACAGATTTGCCTTCCTCTGACATCTATTCTCTTTACTGCTGCTTAAAATCATTGCCCCCTGCACTGAAAAGACATACCTAGCATTTTCATTTCAAATTCCCTGTGTAGGGATGCAGAAAATAATGGCGACCACCACACTGCATGGAGAGAACTCATAACTGTTGACATCGCGGTAAACTCTCATCATAGCTTAATAGGCATTGCGTGTGGCCTACCAGCAGGCAGGGATTCTTACAGAAAGAGACAGTCAGACACAGATACACACTCTGAGAGGTTCAAAGGTTAAGCTGCCTTGATGCCCGGATCCCCAACAAAAAGTTTCCTGTTGCCAAGTCCTTATATCTAGAGGGGCACTTCTGACTCTCCATCTGTTGCCATCTGTGCTCTGACTGTCCCCATTCTAGTGGGACAAGGAGGAGGTAGCAACACAGTGTTCAGCAACAAGCCCTGAAACAGTATGGAGCAGGGCGAACAGTAATTGTTCTCTCCATGGTCCTGGTTCAGGGCCTGGCTGTCGGGCTTTTGATCATAGCATTTTGTTTTAAGGCCCTCTGAGGTCCCTTTTTTTTTCTTTTTTTTTTTAAATTGATGGTTTACTGGCATTGAAGTCTTTATTAGATTGTTTGATACGAGGGTAACTGGTAGAGTTGTTCTGATACTGATGCCTTAATCTGTATCCAACAAAGATTCAGCCTTTTGGGTATTGCCAATTTTACCAGTCAATGCACCGATCCTTTACCAAAAAGCCTAACAAAATCAATTGCCTGTTACAATAAAAAAACAACAGGGTGGTTATAGCAGAGAATTGAATTGAACCAACATTATGTTTCTTTAAGTAATTGTAATCAAATTGGGAATATTGCCAATATTCAAGTCAAGGTATCAGAATTGGCATTGGAAAAGTCTCCATCATCTTGAAATATTGTGGGAAAACGACTTGTGACGAAGGTCCTAGGCTAGATTCTTACCCAGGACCCTTTCATCCACGACAACTAGGACTGCCAAATGGCTAGCATGTTGTCTGATGTGTAGGATACTTTTAGACGCAGGCTAATAGCAGATGAGGCTAGGAAGCCATCTTTCAGACAGATTATAAGCATCTAATTTACTGATTAAGGACTAATGTGTAAGGTGAAGAGGTGGTCGTAGAAATTGCCAGCTTGATAAATATCAGTTTAAATTTAGAAGATTTGGCAATTTTGCTGCACTGATGTTGTTAGTTGATGGAAATTACAATAACTGGGATTTTTCAGGGAATTAAGATTTGTAATAAAGGTCATAGGCATCAAGGATTTTAACCCAGGAACCTCACATCTCAGACCACCAGGACTGAGTGAATGGCAGTCATGTTGTCCGATCTGTAGGATACACCTAGACGCACACTTACAGAGGAGGCTGTAGGCAGCCACCTGTCAGACAAATTTTAAGCATCAGGCTTATGGGGCCAGAAGTATTGTGAGGACTGTTCAACCTTGGGTAATTGTAAATCCAGAAAGCCAGAGGAATATATGTCTCCCTCCTCACATACACACACCTTCTCCCGCTCTCCTCTTCCTCTCCTACAGTGTGTAACAACATGAAACAGCAAGCCCTGCAGCTCTTTAGTTTTCAAATACAGCACACTCGCTTGTCTTGATCTGAACCCAGAGCACGTAGCGTACGAGTTATGCCACTGTGTCAAGACTCTCATTTGGTATGCAAGACCTACTTTTTTTGAGGATCTATGCATAAAGCTTTAAATCTCTCCTGAAGTGTTATTAGGGGAAATGGCACGCTGTATGTAAAGAAACAAATGGCACAGAACATCTGGTTAAAGCTCATCTGAGAGGGCCGCACTGAATTGGACTGATCGTGTTTAAAATGCAAGTGGAGCAGCATGCATTTTACATTACATTACAGAGTGTATGAGTCAGTAAAATCTGGATGGCATACATAACGCTGTATGAAAAGACTAAAGTCGGTGTATAAGGGATGGTTTTTATCGGGAACGGCAGTAATAATCGTCCACCCTCTCTTACATATACTTGGAAATCTCTACAGTTTGTCTATTAATGACTTTGTCATCAAAGGGGGAATGTTAATGTCTCTTCATGGTTGCTGTGTGCATGTCAGGCAGCGTCTGGTTAATATTCAGAGGTACATGGTGGCTGTATATAAGACTCATTATCCTCTGGCAGAGAAACAACTCTGAATTAGACCCAGATTTGACATTCACTTGCTTAGAGACTTTAATGACTTTAGCATCGGCAAGCCCTCCCCCCCTTTAGAGAATTGTGCCCTCATGAATTAGTGAGAGGGTGTGTGTAGCCAAGACAAGTGCTTGCATTTGAACTGCTGATTTTTCTTTAGAAATTGCTGTGATGGAGAAAGATTTTCCATTTATTTCAAGGTAGATGAAGTATAGATGTTGTTTGTGTTTCTGGTTGGAATATGATAATATGAATACCCTTCTAATGGTTTTGAATGCATCCTGGCAGTCAGTTGAACATCCTGGCAGCATGTTCAACATTATTCCTGCACAAATCTTAGGTGTGAACTGAAGCTCTGTGCAAGCTCATGACCTAGAATCGACTGAGCAAGGAGCCTAAAAACTGTTAAATTCTCCAAGGTGCCAGTGACCTTGATTTTGCAATCCTTCTATCTCCTCGTGTAAATGCGGTGGGAGACTGTGTTCTGCGGCTGACGAACCCTGCACAGGTTACGATGGGATGTTTTATACATTGTAAGAGGCATGAGACAATGCTTGAGGCTCACAACCTCGTAAATAAAAAAGTATGACGGCAGACTGCGCAGAGACAAAAATGAGAAAGGTGTGTGTGTCAAGGTGGTGTCAGGACAGCTGCAGAGATTGACAGACGGAATAATCTGCAACAGGGATAGGAGGGAGAAGGGGGGGGGGGGTGACATTATAAAGCCTGAGGCCATCCAGACACACATTTGCAAATGTCTCACACCGCCATTCCACCACCCACCAAACATCCATCACCCAGGGAGGGCCTGGTGGATTATGGGTGAGCACTGGACCGAAATGATTCCCTTCAATAGCCGCCATTCAAGCTGGTTTGTCACTCCCAATAGCACCCATGGGAACAACGTACATGGGTGAGGTGTAGGAGTGAGGGCCCCCCACTCAGCCACCTTGTAACCCCTTCACCCAAGGTTTCTGTGCAGATGACCCTCTATGCCCTGCAATAGACCATGTTCGAGTGTTCCCAATGTTCCAGTTGTCTTCTCATTAAGTCCACTGGCTTTATCCAACTTCATTTCCAATTTCAAGTTCAATTTTCTTTCAACCTTTCACGCCGCTGCTAATTTGCTATTCATTCTGCATTTCCTATTCTATAAATATTTATACCAGAGCAGCCAACTCCCACACACACACACACACACACACACACACACACACACACACACACACACACACAAACAGGGCACGATGCTAAAGTTGTACGATTCAGTTGAGCTCACACATCCTTCCTGTAATCACTCTCTGTTCCAATTTCTCTTCTTTATTTCTTGTCCTCTCTTCTTTCCCCGTCTCTCCCGTCGCAGGTCAGGACCGCACTGAGGCGGGGCTTATTAAGCGTTTCCGTGGAGATGGTGTGCGCTACAAGGCCAAGCTGATCGGGATTGATGAGGTGACAGCGGCGCGTGGGGACAAGCTGTGCCAGGACTCCATGATGAAGCTGAAGGTGCAAACGTCTGTGTGTCTGCATGTGTGGGTTTGTGTGAGTGTGTTCTGTGGGGACATCGTTGAGCCTGGTCACTCATCTCAGTCAGTTTTGGAAAAGACTTGCCCGGACATGTCTGTATTGTTCGTAGAATGAGTCATAGTAACTGTCTTACCCTGTAAATGATTCACTGAAGCTCTGTGAAAAAACTGAGCGGACGGGATAATAAAAGTCCAACTGTATTGTTCTTTACCGCTTTGTAATGCTGAATAGCTACCACAGTGTTGGTTTTATATTCTTTGGCAAAATGATTACAGCTTTGTACTTTTTCCCCCTCTAATAGGCTGCCGTAAATTTTGCTCAAAACTCTGTATTTATTCATACAGATTTTCTGACCTCGGAGGCATACTGGCTTCCTCTTCTCAGACTTTAAGCAAAATGTCACTTGGGAAAATTTCACATTCAAGCGCATGCCTCCAAGAACCTTAATAATACCCTCCCCCCCCCACCTCACCTCCAATGTGTCTGCCTCACATGTCTTCTCATGTCAGTCACAGTTTTCTATTTTTAAAACTAATTCCATGATGTTTTACTTGTAGCACATGTGCAAACTGTGATAATGTGACCCAGATAATATTTAAGCCTGCTCCTTACAGAATGTTGCAAGTAAATCAGGTCAAATGAAGCCCTAAAGTAGGAGACAAAGTCAAAAAGAAAGTCTATACTTGGAATTGTAGATTACATGGTTGAAGACTCTGTGTATTAAAGTTCACTAAAACATATTAAACTGGCCCTGCTCAGCTGTTTCTGCTCCTGTCCTTTCAGGTAGTTCAATGAAATTGACAATGTTGGAGTTTTACTATTTTAATTTATTATTAATAATAAACAAAATATTCTCAGACATTAGCAGTTAATTAATGTCAGTTTGTCTAAAAGGAGACTAATATTAACAAACAACCCTATTAACCACCATGAAGTGAATCTTTAACATGGCGTTTTAAGCACGTGCTTGATGGCTACATACATTTTAACATGCAAAATAGGTGTCCCAAGTGAAAAGTAATCTCACCAGTTAATGATCAGTATATTAGGTAAGGAAATAATATGTTTGGCTAGGGCTGCTGGAGGGTAAACTATTCAAATGGACTACACCAGTACAGAGCAGCTAATGGTAGCCTACACCGCTAAAGCGGTAACAACCAGTAGGTGAATAAAACCAGTCGTTTTGCTAGACTTGAATTAGAATTTATTTAAAAGCTCCCATTAAGGTGCTGAGGCCGAGTCACATGTTGACCCGCAGCGGAACAGGAATCTTCACACCTTTGTTTTTGTCCAAGAGAGCTACTTTGCATTTAATCAACAGGGGAGTTCGGTCTCTAGGACCATAGTTGGTTTCTATGGTTGGAGTATTGGACTATTATTACACGGTTTAGCAAATGGTCAATTATCACAACAGTTGTATAACACTCATAAATAGTATGCTTCCTCTTCTCTAAACTTTATTCTGTATCCTCTTAAATGCCAGCAGTGCTTACTGGCTCCAGAGTATAAAGCAAGAAATTCTTATCACTCTCTTTGTTCGGAAAAAAGCAGCACTTAAGCATCTTAACAGAAGGTGGCTACGGGATAAATCCGTCTCCAAAATAGGACGTATATACATGCCTTTTTAAAATATCTTCTCACACACTCTTGAGCTTAAATGAGTGGGAAGCCCCACGAGAAGAGCAGAATAGCCAGAAGGCAAAGCCTTTCATCACCCATATCCAGTCCAAGCGATATGTCCAATAAAACAACTTTTTCACCGGCTGCATCTGACATTTCCGCCCTGCCCTCCATATGACTCCTGAAGTCAGCAGCCACCAGCCAGTTACAGTCAATGGGGCAGTCGATCCGGACCTGCTATTATCTGGACAGGGAAAAGAGGAGGGGACAGGGTCTATTGAGCTGCCTCTTGCTGCCTTGAGGACTAATCCACCAAATGGAGAAGCCAATGGCTGATTGACAACATCCATCGAATCTCACGCCCGCCTCTCCTTCTCACTCAATTTATTTCTTGGTGATTCTTGTTCATTTATTTCCCTATCCCTTTTTATACCCTTTCCATTTTATCACTTCAGCTCCTCTGGTGTAAATATGGAGGCAGAAGTTGATGCTGATTAATAGCTTGGCTTTCAAATATTAGCTAAGCTTTAAAAGAAACAAGCTGAGGTGGAATGTAGGCTAGCTGGGGTTCACTTGTCAATGTTACTCAGCCTGCAGTTTTGTAAGACGTTTCAGTCGAGGCAGGTCTTTCTTCTCCTCTTATGTTCTCTCTTTCTTCTCTTCTCTTCTATCTCAGTCTTTGTTCTTTGAAAGACATGTCAAGCACACAGGTCGTGTCAAACAGAACACAGGGAAAATGTTAATTGTTTCTTTATTAGAGTCGGGAATTTAACAAAAAAAGGAGCTGCTGAGGTCCATGAGAAAATCACACATCAAAGGCTGGATCTGCCGTTCAGTCAGCACTATGTGAAGTTGTCGGAGCGAGGTGGTTGGTCAGCAACACGATCCATTCTGTCAGCAAATCTCACCTTATTATTGTTAGCTCGCACTTGTGTATGTCACGTTGAAGTGCAGTAGACCTACTTTAAGAAAAGAGAGAAAAAAAGAAGGTGCTTGGGGAGAAAAAAAGGCCGCAATAATAATATGTGAATTCCTCTGAGAGTGAAGCTTCAAGAAAAGGCACATGAAAGAACATTCTGTCCTATCACACCTTATGTAACTCCTGTCACCCTACCCCCCCCCCCCCCCCCCATCTCCCACTGTCACACTCACCTGAGTCGGAGGAGAAGAAGGCTCACTGTCTTTTCACGCTGAGCTCATATCCTTTCATCTCCTCATGTCGTTTCCTTTAATCTCTTGCAGGGAATGGCTTCCTCGGCACGTTCCAAAGGGGAGCACAAACAGAGAGTCTTCTTGACGGTCTCCTTCGGCGGGATCAAGATTTACTGTGAAAGATCAGGGGTGAGTAGAATGTCAGGCGATTGGGCCTCGCGGCGCAGCTCCGCCACGAGGCCTCTGCCAGCTGTTGCACCATGAACCCTACAGTATAGGACATCCAGAGGGCAGACGCTGGCACGGTTCACTTCACAGCCGCTGCCAGGGTCGCCATCTTGTAAGCCTGACTCGCACAGTTGACATATTAGTCAAATGCTATACCTGCACAGGACGTCATATGATACGCAAGGTTTTACTACATCAGTTTCATCACTGCATCTGCAAAAAAAAAGCCAAATTCAACCAGAAGAGTTGATGCTCAATAAGGAACAACATTCCTTCTATGTAGTATTTGCCCTTTAGCAAACAGAAATCGAACGTGACAGCAATAAATAACACATCCTGCATTTGATATTTGACCCTGTTTAAACTGCTTTCAACACTCACCCAAGCAGGATTAGGGGTATGCTGCAGGACCCACTTAAGATCACTCAGCCCCTGTCTGCCAGCTAATGATAGCATGGTTTATGTTATGGTGATGTTATGAGACGGGCTCTTTCCTGCCTCCATCTTGGCTTCCATCCCCCTTGGCGGAATAAGAGGCCTGCTGTTCCATTACAGGATGATCGAGGGGGCTCCGATCTCCCCCGTCCTGGGGCGTAGTGTTGGCTGGATAGGCCCACTCTGCTCATCAGCCCTAACCGATAATTAGCACTCAGTTCCACCCCTTAATGATCATTGCCGCTAATGCTAATTACACCACAGCTCCACCTCAGCTGTCATTAGCGCTAAACTGATAATTACGCAACAGCGATTGATCCCGTGGCTGCCGACCCCCACCCCTAACCCCCGACCGTCTATTTCCACAAAAAATCTCTTATCTTTGATCATATCTCTTCCTAATATGGCTGCTGGTGATGGTGGCGTGTCTTCCGCCTGTAATGAAAAGGAACATTAAGCCTCCCGCCACCACCAACCAGCTCACCAGCTTTTGACAAGCTCATTTGTTGTTTTGGAAATTATACCCCTAATGCTCTTCATTTTATTTACTGATTACCGGCAGTAAATAACACTCCACACTTAATATCCCCGCTGAGTTATTATGGTGGAAGTGGGGATCACTCCAGCTCAGGCAGCAGCGTCAGCGAGCATTTAGATGGAAATACTTTATGTAAAGCTGACATGATTCTCTGCTGAATTGAGTCGACAAGTCATATTAGTTTTGTATTTTATATTAATCCGAGGCGTTACCAGCCATGCTCCCTGCTGAATCTCTGCTAATATTCAAATGAAAGCTCCTCCCTAGTGCCTTAGCTTATCTGTGCTAATAGTGGAGCGGCAGGTGGCTGTGTCTGAGTGACAGATGGATTATCCTATGTGTGTGCGGGTATATATATATATATATATATATATAAGTATAAACATATATGGGAGAGTGTCATGTTGTGTGAGCTTTTTCTGCTCATGCCCAAGGGTAGAACCTGCCAATCATTCACAATGTTGTCAGTGCATTAAATGCTACATTTTAAAAACAAGAAGATTTACTCACTTCCCAATTTGGGGTTTTTGACATTCGCTCAAATCCCAGATGTTCTTATCCTTCATAAATCAAAGCTGGACATGAATACGGAATCAAACAACAAGATGTCTGACACTCAGCCTGATGCAACGGCACACAACAGACATCATGCAACAAGATTAAAGTCTTGTTTTTTCTTGTTGTATCTCTTCTCATACTGAAAGCATCTATGTTTATTATAGAGATGTGAACAGCTCTGAATCTCTCCTCCCTCTGTCAGTCACAGTTTGGCTCTCTCTGTGTTGGTTGGCTGCTTTTTGGCTCAACATTATGCAAAGATGTTTAAAGTAGCTTTGACCTACTTTTCCTGCCAACACAGTGTACAGTTCTTGTACTTGTGAAACATTATGAAACCACACCACGATTTTTACATTCGCAATCTTCAGAGAGAAGAAGACGAGAAGTAGATGTTGTATTTTTATGTTTTAAGTTGTCTACATTTGCCTTTGTTGATTTGACACTTTTAGCTTTCTGCCACCTAGGTGCTCCTGCATCACCACTCAGTCCACGAGATCAGCTACATCGCCAAGGACACCCGGGACAACCGGGCCTTCGGTTATGTCTGTGGGAAGGAGGGTCACCACAGGTTTGTGGCCATCAAGACGGCACAGTCGGTGAGTAACTTTCCACTCTGCTGGATCTGTTGAAGAAAAGCCTCAGGTTCTCTAAGGAACGTCATGACCGAAAAGATGATTTACCATTAGAGTGACATTTGGTTTGAACATATTTTAAAGCTGCATTAAGGTAATGAGGCCTGAGACCAAGTTATTTCATTGCATATAAGTTACAATGAAATATTAAAGCTGTGTGGATAAACAAGGCTGGAGACTGTCTTGTATATAATTCACTGACAGAAACATGCTTCTGGTTAGGTTTTAATCAAACATTGAATATTTATCCAGTCAAAGTTCTCATTTTTGTGACTCGAGTTCAAGTATGTGAAGATGGGAAGTAATGTAAGGTCACTGCTCTGAATTCTTGATCGTTCCATCACTTAAATGCAACCAGAGCTCGGGAGCTATAGCGTAGACTTCTGAGACAACTGTACAAGAAAATTCATACTTATTCATACGCCACCAACGAAGCAGCGGGAGCAAATCAATGTTAAGGGTCTTGCCCAAGGACACATCGGACATGTGCTGCAAAACTCTGTTCAGTTTCTTTCCCTTTTCCCTAAAACGACTGATACCCTTTCTCCTCTTGAAGGCCGAGCCTCTCATCATTGACCTGCGCGACCTCTTCACGCTCATATACGATATTAAACAGCGGGAGGAGATGGAGAAGAAGGCTCAGAAGGACAAACAGTGTGAGCAGGCGGTCTACCAGGTAGGAAACTCTGAGCACATTTCTGTTTTTTTTTTTTTTTAACAGCTTCATTTCCCATTTGTGGGCGAGATCACACATTATTACTCCGCCAGCAACTCATTCACACAACAGAGATCTTAACACGTTGGCGCTTCCTCTGAATTGCATCGCAGACTGTGTTTGTCTGCAACACTGATTTCTATGTTGAATATCTAGATATAATGGAAATGCAACAGGTTTGGGTGATCTTTTTTTTATTGGAGTCATGAATGGGTGACGGGAAAAGAATGTGTTGGCGTGTCTGTTATATAACACATCAGTGTCTCATTAAAACAAAACATGCTTGTCAGTATACTGATGTTTGCTGCAGGAAAACTAGAAAAACAAAGGGGCTTTTTTTTAGAGCTGTTGTGATACCAAAACCAGTAATGATAAGATGCTGATACAATTACTGATAGTATACTTTATATAAAGATGGATGACGTGTCTTCATACCGCCCTGCAGAGGCAGATAAAGTGAGATGGTGAAGTAATTTTCAGAAAAGACATTTGTATAAGAGATCTGACTGCTGGAGCTGTCTGCTAATTATTGCTCACATTAAACTTACTGATAAAACTATGTTTGACAAAATTGTATTTTAATTAGTCTCATGTTTGATCTGTTAAGCCTGTAGTGGCCAACACCGTGGTGAACACTACATAGCTTGGGCATTGGTGTGTCTGTGTAGCTCTGCAATACTCTACTTAAAAATGCTAGTTGGCGGTCCGATTTCTATACTTGTTTTATTTCGCTAGTTTTCTGTTCCACCAAATTCTCTGCTTGTTTGTGTACAGGAAACCGTGGCGACTGAAACCGAACGTATTAAGTTGGAGTGGATAGATATTGAGTAGCAGTGGATTTTACTGGCATGTAGCATTCTTCCTTCTGTATAACGGTAATACTAGAGAGATATTGTAAATGTCAGGCTGCATACATAGGCTTCTCTGTAGGTACAGGGCTACAAGAACATGTGGCGTTTGTGGTGTAGATTCAATGCAGAAGTATAAATCAGGCTTTACATGAATTAGGCAGGATTGAAACCTGTTCTGCTGCCAGTCAGCTGGGGGAACTCCAAATCATTTGGCTTCATATTTATAGAGAGCTTTGGTGCTGTCCAGTCTTTATACAATCTATGGTTCTGATACTACCTAAAATGCAGTATTGGGTTTTGGAAAATATGCTTGACAATGCAGATTATGAAAGCATTATCTTTAACAAGATAAACTATCAAACAACAACAGCAAACGACAGTACTGCTGGTCAGTACTCAAGTCTAGTTATCCTTCTTGTTATATCGAAAGAAAAGTGGTATGGGAACATCTCTATATTTTGTGCGTTTTGATGTTTCTCCTCCATTTCTTTCTACTCTAATCGGCATCTCTCTGTCTGACTGATGAAAAACAAAATGTGTCATCTACCCTTTCCCACAGACCATCCTGGAGGACGAAGTCGACGATCCAGTGTACCAGGTAGGTCTGTCGGCACACAGAGCAGGAAACTAAACACTGCTGACCTTGATGCTTTTCTAGCTTCACTTGTGCTGTTTTCACTCTTAAAGCTCAGAATCGACAAAAACAATTAATCCGTAATTCAAATATCTCCTCCAGTCACTGATCAGCTTGAATTAATGATTCATGATATTCCACCATTTCAGTAATACACAGTAGACCATCAAAGCGGAAAGTTTTGTTCAACCATTCAACTCCCATCTGCCAGTGCAGTGTTGTAAAACCATATTTTTTATTTGATCTGTGTCAATGTTCTGATTTCTTCCAAAGACACAACCCTTACCCCACCTTGACTGGTTGTCACCCCCCTGTTTTTCCCCTGTGTATTTATTTGGCTGACATGACTTTTCTTTTTCTGTGTGTTTGCTCACACTGAATACAGACAACACTAACTCTTACTCTGAATGCTATGTTCAGTGGTACGTCCAGCCACCTCCCAGATCACCTGTTCTTTGCTCTTGAAGTGTGTTTTTACATAAATCATTCCATTTGCAGCTTTTATCGATTATGTTGATGTTGGTTGACAAAACTACAGACTGTGGCCACAATCTTAAAAGATTACTTTGACATTTTGGGAAATACATATATTTATTTTCTTGCTGAGAAGATCAATACCACTCTCACATCTGTGCAGTAAATATGTAGCTTGAGACTCCGAGAATTGGCATAGCTTAGCATAAAAAATAGAAACGGAGGGAAGAGCTAGCCTCTTGTCTGTGGGGAACACAGTCGCCTGCCAGCACCTAAAGTTTGAATGATTATTTACAGTATCAGATTTGTTCAAGGCCAGTCCTAGCATTATTTTGGAAACTTTTTTGCAGTGGTGTAAAGATTAAACAATCCAAATCGGTAACCAACTTTAGCGTTATAAATCTGAGGGCGTTCCTTGTAAGAGCCCTCAATCTGTGAAAATGTAACACAAACCGGTTGATGGTAGAATTTTACAGTTACTAAGAGGTTTACTGAAGCTTTAGCGCTTGTTCTGCAAACTGTGTTTAGTGTCTTCAATCTCCTGAGACTCTTTTGTTGACTTTTTATCTTTTCACAAAGGTAATGTTAGCAGTAGGTGGCTAGCTAGTTAGCTAGGTGTCTTACTAGGAGTAAACAAAGTCAGAAATCGTCTGGAAGCTTTTGAGAAAAGCGACTAAGATCACTTTGGGAGAAAGCAGGGCTAAAGTTTGCTAACCAGCAGAGCCAAATATTGAAGACTTTCCCGCCACAACTCAAACACGATGAACCGTGTTGTTGAGAGTCCTGCTTTTGACAGATTAATACATTTGAGCCAAGTAACAATATACCAAAGATATATTGTTATCAGTTTAAGAATGAAGACAAACAAGAACTGTCTCAACGTTATGTAGACTTCATATTCACTATCGCAGAGAAACTAAGACAGGAGAGATGGGATTTGCATCAGATGGAATCGAATGAGGATACTTGCTGATTATATTGAATTGACTATGAATCGGACTGTAGCCTATGAATTTAGATTTGAATCAGAATGTTTTGTAAAGGGGAAAATCACAATCCTACTTTTTTGGGTTTAAAAAAAACCCCATATTAGTCCAGTATGCTAAAACAAAGTGGTATTTCTTTTGATGAATGCAATGATTGGCCATCCACAAAAATCTTGAAACGTCATCATTAGTTTCAAAACTAACTGAAAAAAGCATCAGTATTATACAAACAGCCTTAATTATGTTACATTAACTTTTCTTTGTATAATGTAAGAGTGTGGCCTCCTAGTTTTTGCAGATGATACCATTTTATAAAGCAGGAGCTTCAGTTCAGTGACCTACTTTTATTCTGCTGATGAATGCAGGTTTTGAATAAGACTTCAGGTTATAACACTAATTAGGCCAGGAGTCCTTTTTTTCTTTCTTTCTTATTAGTGTTTGGTTTTATTTGTTTACTAAAGATGTAGTACAGTTTTCATATACGTAACTCGTCTTCAATGGTTACTTTTATTTAGTTTTAGTCTCACTTTGGTTGTAATTTTTTAAAGATTCGTCCTAGTTTTAATTGAAGAAATTATCTCTGATGAGCAGAAAGTAGACAATAAGTAAAAATTGAACCGAGCTAGGCTGGCTTCTCCTCCCGTTTCCAGTCTTAAGGCAAAGCTTCCTGGCTGCTGGCTTCATATGAACCATACATGTGAGAGAGAGGTATCAATCTTCACGTCTTTCTTTTGGCAAGAAAGTGAAAAAAGCTTATTTTGTTCAAAATGTTAAACATTTTGAGATCAACATAGACATTTCATAATGCCAACTATAAGGCCAGAGACTGACGGATTCAAGGACTTGAGGATCTCAAGCAATATATTCCGACCTGTAGGTCTGAGCTGAAGCATCACATTCCTGTTGTAGAACAGAGACCTCTAACTTAGACCTTCACGTTGCCTTTAACTACTGCCTGACCTGTTATACTTGTGTTCTTTCCTCCTCCCACATCACTCTTTTTTCTTTCTCTCTTCATCTCCCCCATTCTTTATTCCAATGCCCTATTTTTTTTTTTTTTACACCCTTTATATTCTTGATCTCATTTTGCTCCCCACTCGACACCATCCTCGCTCCCCTGTGCTTTCATTTATTCTTGTCATGTTTCACTCTCTTGTTGTATCTCTCTTCTATATGCCAACCTTTCACTTTGTCTTCCCATCTCATTATTCTCTGCACCTCTACACCTCGCCCACTACTTCTGTTCTTTAGTACATAGTGTTTGAGGCTGGACACGAACCCCTCCGTGGCCCCCAGTCAGAGGAGAGCGTTTATCAGGTACAAAGACAAGCATTGCCCCCTTTTTCCCCCCTCCTTCTTCATACCCTGTGGTAGATGGTAATAGTAACAGTACTAACATTATGATTTTATAGCTCCTTTCTTATAGAGGATACAGAGCACAGCTTGATTTTGAAGATAGGACTTTCTGGAGATATAGAAGTAGATTAAATTTAGCTTACTGTTTTACTGTGGCTGAAGATTAAAAAGAACATTCAGGAAACAATCATTGAAGCAATGACATTCATTTAAAGATTGTTTTTTGTTCCTTACATTTCAGTCAAACCTGTCTCTTAGGTTTAAACACAGCAAACACATAAGCAGCTACTTTTCAGAAATAGAACAGGAAAGCGACTGCTAATATATGTTTGTTTTTATAAAATAGATTGAATTTCAATTACTCCCAGGAATAAACCAATCCTCAGTTCAATAATAGATAATTGCTTATACAATTTGAAGACTCATTTTTGGATGAACAATCAAGGCCAGCCTGAAGCGCAGTAACAAACACATTTCGTTGTCTGTGGCTCCTTCACAATTAAAAAGCCACGCCAGTTTAATATATTAAAAGTGAAGTGTCAGTTAGCATGAGCAGTAACTATATATGCCTCTAATCTATGGACAGCTGACAAAAACAGTGATGATGATATCAAGTTGATTAAATGACAGTGGATTACTTACATGTAACAGTTTCTATTACTACCTTGTACATAAGTCATCTGTTTGAATCCATTCTGGATTGGCGGACTTTGCCACTACCAAAAGTGTGAAAAAAACTATTTTACTTTCTCAAAACATCATGAGTTTTAAAAAAACCTTGTGCATAAGATTTGGTGGACTTCACAACTACCAAACTGGGGAAAAAACAGAAATCCCAATTTTTTTCCCCTGAAAATGTATCGAGCTTTAAAAAGACTGAAATAAAATGAAAAGGCAGCCCAGTTAATGCTGAAAACAATGCCTCACGTAGCATCTAAAACAACAGCAGAACAGTCAAGGTCAGCTGTTTTGTCTGGATAGTTCACCCAAAGCTCCTTTTATATTGCCAACACTTTGACCTTTTGGCTTCAGACCATTTGAACGCAACCAGCTCGGACTCCAGGGACCGCTGGTGTGGTTTAATCCTACCCCGTTCCCTCCCTTTCTCTCTCCCTCTTCTCCTCCTCCTCTTTTTACTCCCATGTATCTTGCGTTCCTCTGAAGATGAAAGATGCAGAGAGAGATTAATCACTTGCCATGCCATTTGATCTCCGAATGAAACAAGATCAATAGACTTGGGGAAAACGTAACGGAGAGTTAACCAGTTGAGGGCATGAAGGAGAGAAAGGCAGCGAGGTTAAAAGCGATAGATAGTTGAAATAAATGCAAGGGACATATACAAAGGAGGGCAGAGCTGAGGCATCTTCGTATCGTCAGATGAACCAGTTGAGACACACTGTTGCAGAATAACAATAAGGCTTTCTTAATACTCACAGAACCAGCACACAGCATCCTCAAGCTTTGTTAGAAATCAATATTGATTTAAGTAGAATTGATTCAACAAAACAGCTGTAGGATTTGCATAATCCAGTTGCTCTGAAAGATACAATTATTAATCAAAAGGACTATATTGAGAAAGCAGTGAGATTTCTTTTCAATAGAAATGTTTCAGTTCATGTAAAATTCTGTTTTTTTTTTTTTAAGGCTAAACATAAAAATTTGTTTTTATTTTGTTCTTTACGTTTGAATCGACCTCCAATTCAACGCAGGTCCCAACCAGTCAGCAGAAGGAAGGGATCTATGATGTCCCAAAACGCCATTTCATGACTGTAGGTGTTTTTATTTCTTATTATTTGTTTCTTTACTCTTCCCCATACAAACCTCTCTCTAAGATCCTCTTGCAGGGAGTTCCTTAAGCCCACTTTGACTATGTTGAACTATATTTTGCTCAACTGTCATTCATATTTTTGGTCATGAATTACAGCCTAAAACAATTTCCCAGACAAGTCAGACATGGGTCTGTGTCTGAATCCGCTTTTCCGCAGTGATGATTGTGATGATGAAACAGAGCTACATTCGGCCTGCCATAGAGATAAGAAATTGATTGGTCGACTAAAGTCAGATTTGTCAGCAATTTCACAGAACATTAGGGAGGCGGGCTTCGTATCCAAAATCCAATCCTGTGCATAATCTGATGCATATCGGGACCAGATGGTCCAGACAAAACTGGTTTGATCAGAGTCTGTGTGTAGCAGACTGAAATTATGAAAACCGGGGTGGCTGTTGCGTCTTCCTCAGAGGATGAAGACGAGAGGTTTGTTGATAGGGTGGACGTTGGGATGAGCTGCATGCAGTGTAGTCACAACATACAATCAATCTGCGGCAGTTCTACACATTTACATGGTCATGACATCAAACTCATGGACGGGACGCTCAAAACTCTGTCATACAGCTGTTCCAAGAAGACAAAACATTTTCATTTTACTGATTAACAATTGATCAGCTACTGAAAAGAAAAATACAAAAGGACATGAGGCAGTATAACATATTTGCTAACCCATTAGCTGCAGCTACAAAAAATCTTACGTAAGCTTCTGGCTAATGTTTGCTAACGTAACCATTAGCTGGTTTACATAACTGTTAGCTAACAAACATAACCATTAACTAGCAAACATTATCTTTAGCTAGCTAAATATTATGTTAGCAAGGATTGTACACCTTTCCTATCACATAATTTGACATTATTAAATATCAGCTGGGTTGTTGTTGAATGCTTACTCTAGCTATCTAACACATTTTTAAAAAAAATTGTTTTTACTTTAAATATGACCAAATATTAAATTTGGTTACAATATAACAAATTAGGAAATAACTTACATATCTATATTCTATTTACAACCTGGAACATGGTGGTAAAACGTTGTGACATTTTTACAACATTAACATTATTTTAACTTCCCTCACTAAGTATGGCAATATGTGATTTTGGCAAATTGATTTAATCAGAAACAGAAACAAAAATTATATTCCCCCCCCCCCTCATCAAACTGAGAGTATATTTCTTCTCATTCTGGTAGGTTTTATGAGTTCTTCACCACCATGCAGTGTCCACGCTATTACATTTCAAAAAACGCTTTAAAAAAAATCATCCATTCAGGCCTATTTCATCTAATAATCAGCCAGACAGAATTTCCAGGCAACTTTTGAAACCAGCCCTAACAAAGTGCTTCTCTGCTCTTCTTGCTGTTTGTGTGCTTGTTGTTCAGCATATCAAACAGATAAAAAACTGCCCCCCCCACCCCCCCTTTTGCTATCTCACCCAAACAGCCCATGCTGTATAAGTAGCAGCGCTTCCATATCTCTAAGTGTTACTGCTTGTCTGTTCATTCAGTTGGAGCTTTTTTTGAGAGCTTCGAGCTCCCCTGATGTGTGTCAGTGCCTGCAGGGACAGACTTCACTGTACAATGTTTACCTTTTTCCAAATTCTGACTCATCTGTGGCCCTCAATGGTCCCAAAGTGCCGTGCAAACTGTTTGACGCGCTATGTCCCGGCTCATTCAAGGAGGGCATAAACACCCTGTTAGCAGCAACACAGATTGCTGCAAATCCCTCCCTTTTTTCTTTTGTTTTAGATATGTTTGTTTGTATCTGTTTATTTATAGCATGCAAATCCTGTGTGTCCTGTGTGTTTTTGTGGTTTTACAGTGATCCATTGTCTGCTTGTGCATGGCCCCAGACACATTTCATGCAACTTTGTCATTCCATAGTCTCCTTTGAGTAGTGCTAGTGGAGGACAGAGGGGACTAGTTCAGGGGTCATGTCTGCCTATAGGGTGAGGTGGCCTCATTGTCTCGGTCGGGTGGTTTTAGGAGCTTTTTCTTCCATCTATTCGATAAAATAAAACACACTCCTCTGTGTGTGTGTGTGTGTGTGTGTGTGTGTGTGTGTGTGTGTGTGTGTGTGTGTGTGTCCACTCACAGAGCAGAATCAGCATGATAAAGCAGACGCAGGCTCTCACAGGGGCCTCCTCCTGATTGGTAGACATAAGAATATCTAATCAGAGTCTGTTTTATAGGACTGAATAGCCTTTTACCCACTCAATTATAGCGAGCCATGGAAGATTCATTTTAGATCCATTTTCTGATAATGAAAAGGAGGGGACAGTTGTTTCTTGCCATCCGCAGCACAAACTGCCTTTGTGAATAGATTTCACTCCCCACACCTACCCCACCCATGCAACCACCGTACCCTATCTGCAGATGAATTCAAAGGTTTAATGACTGTGCAGATCTCATTGTCGTGATGTAACACTGGACTTTGTCTCTTTCTTTTCCTCTTCCCCTGGTGCATCTCACAGAATATCAACCACTTTGATCTTTTTGGTGACATGTCCACTCCTCCCTCGGTGAGTGCTATTACCACTCTTTAATATTTGATGAAAGTTTTAAGTTTTGCAGGCGAGAAATTACATCCATATTTCATCATCAAGTTTTATCTATGATGTTAGGTCATTTCATAAAGATCCAAATTACCTGATTGAAGTGCAGATTAAAGATACATGTGCAGCTGTGACTTTTAAGTGACTTTGACAGCTGTGACATCTGTATGTCTGTGTCTCTCCCAGATGCCCCCATCACCTGCCAACACACTGGACCCCAGCAGGAGCAGCCGCCAGCAGCAACATGCTCCTGCTGAGATGTACGCCCCCTTCAGCCCCACCTCTGTGCCGTCAGGTAGCTCTCCCATCCGGCATGCTGCGTCTTTTTCAAAATACAACACATAAAAGAGAACGAAGTGCTGCTGGCAATGTTTTTTTCTTTGATGTTGCTTTGTGATGAGCCTTGCACAGATTGTGCAGAACGTGGATTTATCTCTGTATTTATAAGGACCACACGTCGAGAAGCAGAGCGTTTATGCCGTGCAGAGATACTGTGAAGTGTTGTTTCTTAATTGACCATGCTGGATGTTTTGGCATATTTAAGGGTGACTAGTGACATCCAAGTCTTCCAGGAACATACAAGAAGCTAGTTTTTTCCCCCAACATATGTGCCTTTCAATGCTAACACAGTTTAAAGATTTTAAGTTCTTCACTAATTGACTTAAATCTCAGAGGTTGTCAAGGAAAACTTGCAAAAAAGCAAAAACATTACATTACAATCCCAATGGGCAAACTATTGGTTTATTGGAACCAAGTGGCTGTATTTGAATGATGGGCAGATATGCATCATAAGACCAGTATTCTGTTAAAAAGGTTGCCATAGTTCTGCCTAGTAAGTGACAAGACTCTACACACTAGAGCAAAGGGCACTTTAGCCTCAATTAAACTCCAAATGAGGCCTGAATTTACAAAGTAAACATCATTAGCAAATGAGAGCTGGCAATTGACACCATAAACTGATTACATAACATTTTCTGAGTTCAAATAAGAAATAGTGTTTTCCTGTCTAGTTTCATGCAATCGAAACTCTTTAAGCATCCAATTCCGGCCCCCCACCTGCTGGCCATCAGAAAAAATGCAAAATGCAATCAAGGAGGATCTGCTGCCTATGTGTAGTTTGCTGTTTAAATTATCAGGTATCCATGAACATTATTGTCACAGTGCGAATTTTCCTGAAATGGTTACCAGGCCTGGTTAACACTTAAAAGAAAATCTCCCATACCTCTCTTTTCCCACTTTAAAAGCTTTTGACAGCTTTCCTTATATGCACCTTTTGGCTATTGTTCAGCTTCAAATAGTTCTCTTTGTTAGTCAAAGATTGCAAGAAATCAATGTTGAGCAGGAACATGCAGCAATTTTGAAAATGGCTGTAGTGAACTTACACAATGTATTCTGTGCTCAAAATTCTCCTCTTCCTTTCCCTGTCGTGATATCCTTTATCATTTCCGTGTGTTTCCGCTCCAGGTTATATGACCATGGGTCCCGTACAGGCGGCCCAGTGGGCACAGCAGCCGTTTCCTGGTCAGGCTCAGACTCTGGCCTTCCCCGTGCAGGGGCCCCTCCAGGTGGCTCAGGTCCTCCCCGGTGGTCAGCCGGTCATCTGGAGCCAAGCCAACATTTTCCCCGCCACTCAGCAGCAGTGGGCGGCCATGGCAGCCTACATGCCGGCCCAGACTGTGGGCGTTGGGGGGCACGCTATACCAGCTGCCATGCTTCAAGGCCTGGTACCGATTACCACCATGTGCCCTCAAGCCTGTGATCTATCAGCTCCCTCCTCCGCCATCACCAGCCCTCAGCACACGGCAGACCCCACTTTGCTCCAGAGGCAGCTGAGCCTCGGGAAGGACGGCCTTGGCATGGACTCAGATGCAGGCGAGGGCCCCTCTACATCAGGAGCAGCAGGGGTGGGACCTGGTTTAGGTTCAGCAGCAGTAAGCAGGTGCGGGACCCCAGGCCTCATGAGTGTACCAGACACGCTGGTCTGCAGTCAGCTGCTGCCTCCTTCAGCTGCTGCGACCCAGGAAGAGGAGGGGAGCTGTAGTGACCTTGATCTCTCTAGGATGACCTTGAGCCCAGGTACATCAACGTCACCGTCAACTGAATCTCGTAAGTGTTCCAAATATTGACGTCCTACATACTTATAGTTTACTATTTCGTCATCTGTACCACTTAGTGTGAAAAGTATTTTTAAGAATCTATTGTCTAGTAGAATCCGGTTTTATTATATCATATTGTATTTTATTTAATAGAATCAAAACAAATTGTTTCATATCCTATAGTATTGTATTATATTATGCTATTTAGGGGTATGGTATGTATGATGTCATATTGTATCGTATCATCTAGTAATGTATCGGAGCCCCTACAGTCCATGCAGTATGTCTCCATCTGTCCTTAAACCTTTTATTTAACAGTAAAATAACTGAAATACAGAGAGTAGTGGAGGAGACATCCCTCTGTCCGTACTTGAAGACATCAATAGGATCTTGTCTGTCTAAAACAGACGTATTCAATTTGCATTTTCAGAAGGAAAAATCTACATTTCATTGAAAAAAAAAAAAAGTAGAGTATTGATGCTAGAGGAAGTTAAACTTCAGGTTGCATCCAAATAGACCTGAGCATAATGCCTCCTCTAAACCATCCTGGAATCCTGGAAAGAGGGCAGACGACACAAGAGGGCTCGAGCATGCCATTCACACACACACACACACACACACACACACACACACACACACACACACACACACACACACACACACACACACAGGGAGTTAGAGACAAAGACAACAGGCACACAAGGAGAGAGAGGTAGACGAGGGGTGAGGATGAATCTCCTGGAGGACAGAGTTCTAAACATCTGGACTGAGACACCAACAGTCAGGGGGGAGAGAGAGAGAGGCACCGAGCTGAGGCCGGTCCAGCACAGAGAAGCCTGACTGAAAAGATAGGACAAGGAGGAGAAAGAGAGAGATGCACACAGCTTTGGGGCTCATGTGCTTGTGGGACACACACAAACAGAGGTTGAGGGAGGTGCAGTAGTTTTCAGAGAGTATACAGTATTCAGGACAAACACGGGCTGCGATTATGCACTTTCACTTCCAAAACTGGCATTGTTTAAAGAGTGACCATGTTAACCGGCGACTTTTAGACAACTGCAACAAAAGGTGTCCTGAAAGGCCTCTTAGTTAAGTCTTATTATTTCATTATACTGTCCAAATACCTAATCAGATTGAATAGTTTTAACGTCAATAAAATAACTAAACAAAGAGGTATTTCTAAGGACACTTTCCATCTTTTGCAACCACAGACACATGGGGATGAAAGTTGCCACCCAAGTTAAGGGTCCTGAAACTTTACCCTAATTTCTCTGTTTTCAGTGATTGTCAGGTGATGTAAACATGTGAGTGTTCAGTGATGGCTGCTGCTTTCCTGAACTATTTTTGCCCTCCAAGCTTCCGTGCCACGTCATGTGACTGAAAGCTATGAACACAAAACAAAAAGAGTACACTTTGCATATCTGGGGAACACTCAATGAGTCATTGGACCTGCTCTACATTTCTGTTATATTCACAAGGTGTTTTGCACATGAGTGCAGCCAAGAAATATATTTTGCCTGACATTCTTTGTAGACCAAGTCTCAATGTTCAAAAACACATCCGTCCAGTTTAAGCCTCAATTCCCAAACCTAAAGGCAATTAAGGGCGCAGTCTTTTCATCTAAATGCACATTTATCCCTTTACAGAAAATGTTTAGTAGAAATGCTTATTTTGATCAAAGTATATTGAATGCTACATGTAATTAATGTTATTTATGCATTGAACAGACTAATTTGTTTTTCGTCTGGATCATTGATTAAGATTTTGTGCTGGTCCTTTAAGAACGTGTGACTTTATTTTGTTCGGTTGGCAGTGATTTTTCTTATAGAAGTAAATTATTCACACTCACCCCCTATTTTTGAGAGCTGACTTTTGGAACTAATAGATCAGTTGACTCTGAGATGGATCCATCAGAAGCAGCGTCCAAAGTATTTCCACATAAGACATTAAATGAAAGATACGGTAAAATATGAGTTTTGAGAGTTTCTCCATATCTCTCCAGAACTAGTTTGAGACTGTGTGTTGACATCAGGGAGGTTTTTCAAGAGGAAGGGGGCTCAATATGAAAAGGTCCTGCAGTTCGTTTTCTTCTCTGGCCATTTGGAAACCTTTATTTCATATGAATGTAGAATGTCAGGTGTAAAGGTAAAGAAAGTCAAGGGGATGACATTCATTAAAGGTCATGTCTTGATCGTGACTGCTTCTTCTCTGGCATTCTTTTCTCTCCATGCTAAAATGAATTCATAGTGCAGATCTGCATTAAACAGTAACCATTCCACATTTTAGAAACGTATACATCCTCTAAGTTTGTCATGTACATTTTCTTTAATACATCACCTGAATGTGTCTCCTCTCCGCAGCATCCACTCCCGCCCCTCAGCAGAGCTCGTCTTCAGACTGCCCCCCCTCCCAGGCCAGTGACCCCCCCACAGATCACTCCCCTGTAGACCCTGAGGGCAACTCCAGCAACGCCAAGGAGGAACAATCGGTGAGCGTTGCCTCCTCTGGGTCCCACCTCCAGTCAATGAGATTCATGGATCTGATTGAACATCTGACAGCGTGATGCTATAATCTATTATCGTAATATGGATGATCTGTTCTCAAATAGATCACATGTAATCAGCAGGGTAGAAGCCATGTGACTAACGAGGCCAAATGGGATTGATTTGACCCCTTTTTCAGGGAAAAATGTCAAATCAATTAGACATGAAAGGTCAACAAACAATTTTAGCGTCTTGATAAGATCATTTATAATACGGTGGAATTATGTCTCGGAGTAATCAAAGTCGTTATCTTGCTAATTGTTTGGCTGATGTTTCTCTGTGAGGATGTTACAGCTTATTCTCCCTCCTTCTTTCTCTCAGGACTCATCTGTTGCAAGGTCGATCTCTCCGGTGCCGGATGGAGCTCCTGATCCTCCGCAGGATCAGACCTGTCCACAGGAAGACAGCTAGAGAACAACACACACCGAGTGGGTATCTCATCTCACCTCCTCACCCATTTTTATGTGTTGTAAATCACTTCAAATTGTGTCATTTCATGCATTTTTCCCTGCTCTTTTCATCTCCCTGCTCTGTGTCTCTTTATGAGCTTCATATTTTTCATTTGTCAGTGTGTGTTCTTTTTGTTTGCAGATGGGGTTTTTGAGCCGGCTGAAGCAGAGGCTTGGTTTAGTTCAATGTTTCAGTGATTATCCGTCTCTGCGTCATCCAAACAAAAGCTGAAGAAGGCACACTGTTGCCCCCTGGTGGTCAGAGTTGTGACTGCACAAATGCAGCTTGATGATGTGAATGTTTCCTGTTTGTGTTGTAGGGGATGGAAGCTCTTGAGGCCCGGACAGAAGCTCATGAGACAGAGAAGAAGAAGATGAGAGATGAGTGACTGTGATCAGCAGCAACTCTCACGGCTGGATTACACAGATTTGTTCTGTTTGTTCAACCTTGGAAGGATATTTTGGCAGTTCTGCTTCAAGCTGGCTACCCTAGGATCTGCTTTCCTCCAGAGGCCACATACTGCACTGCACTGTACTCCTCAGCATGACAACCAGACTTTGGCTGTATCATCCGATCAGAAAACCTTTTAACCAGGAAGTGACCTTTGATCTTTGAAACCTACAGAAGGAGGGTATTTTCACCTCCCTGTAGTGGATTATCTAATGTATGAGGATACATGACACGGCCATGATGATGCAGATTATTTTTTGGAACCTTTGAAGAGGAGCAGCATCCTACTGTACGTGGTCGACCTTCAGTTTGTCAACAGCCACCAGCAAAGGACTGCACCCAGCAGATGAATTTGCCAAATGTTCTCAGAGTGTTGCTCCACCGATTCGTCCATTTTGCATGAACAGACTTGATGTGGATTCAGCGGACTCAGCTGTGAGCAAAAACTGTTCTCTGCAGCTTCCCTCTTGACCCGAAACAAATAAAAAAAAAAACGTTGTTTTTTTGTCTTATTTTATAAGCTGTGAATTCTTTGTTGATGACGCTGAGTCATTCGAGGTATCCAAATGACTTTGAGGCATCAATGTGGAAATCGAAAAAAATTGCCAAACATCTATTTTGTAAATAAGAATCCTCCCAGTCCCCCTTACCTGAGCCTCTGTGCCATAAGATAGCTCTCTGCCTCTTTGGATGCCAACTACCTGTGTTTAATCTCAAGCAATGCCCTACCAGCACCTCCATCTTTGACGTCTGGATGTTTGTTTCGCTTTTTTTTTTGGCTTTTTCTTTTTTATTTCATTATTTTTTTCTGAAAATGTCTGTTTCTGTTGGGTTGGTGAGATATGAACTGTGAATCTGTGTTACATGGTCATTCTAAATAAAAGCCTGATACCTGTCAAAAGATACGAGAAAGGAAAGAGTCGACACATTACTACGACGTGAAGATTTCAGACTTTTTTTAAGGCAGATTTTCCTGCATCTTTCTGTTTTTAGATATTCTACATTTCCAGTTGAGGTCACATTGTTTACAACTCGCCTCTAAGGATCATATCTTTGTTTGTTTTCTTGAGTAAATAAGCAGAATAAACCCATGCTGATTTGATATAGCTTAATAACCACATGCTCAGAGACAGTAGAGTGCATTTCTATGCCTTATCAGGTTTATTTCTGTCGTTCAGTCACTGTTCTTCTTGTCGGGTCATTGTTGTAACAAAGCACTTGGGCGTATTGTAGGTCTGCTCCACAGTATGAAAGGTTGAAAAAGGAAAGGCAACGTTATGTAATATGAACAATAGAGATATCACTATTAACTGCTAGACTTACAATGACAAACGGTAACTGTACCCCTGCTCGTGTAAGAAAAATGAGAAATAGTCCGAAATATTTTGTAAATTTTATTTATGGAATTAAGAATTGTCATGAAAAGAGTAAAAAAAAGGACTTTTGTACGTCTATGACTTCCCCATACACTGTATCCATCCACTGTTCAGTCACAAATAAAATATCATGTGATTCCCATTTTCCTGCCTGGTTTTCTCTTCAGTCTTTAAGCTAACACCATCTCACTAATGATCGACTCTAAAGGCCACAGAAACAGCCAACAGAGGTTGCTCTCCTCAAACTAATACTGGTGTGACTGTGTTTGTAATATATTGTCATGTACTTTTTTATGCTCATTATATTTTTAGGCTAGTTAGATTGATGACATTGAAGATTAAAGTAATTTCCTTAAGCTCCATAAAGTATTCAAAGTCCAAGTGAAAGGTCCCTTTATACAGAAAAACATACACTCACCGGCCACTTTATTAGGTACAGTTGTTCAACTGCTCCTTAATGCAAATATCTTACCAGCCAATCACATGACAGCATCTCAATGCATTTAGGCATGTAGGCATGTAGACATGGTCAAGACGATCTGCTGAGGTTCAAACTGAGCATCAGAATGGGGAAGGAAAGTGATTTGGGTGACTTTGAACATGACACTGTTGTTGGTGCCAGATGGGCTAGTCTGTGTATTTCAGCAACTGCTAATCTACTAGGATTTTCACGCACAACCATCTCAAGGGTTTACAGAGAATAGTCCAAAATAAGAGAAAATATCCAGTGAGCGGCCGTTCTCTAGGCGAAAATGCCTTGTTGCTCTCTGAGGAATGTTTGTTGTTGAAACTATGCCATGGAGAATTAAGGCAGTTCTGAAGGCAACCCCGTACTAGTAAGGTGGCTGATAAGTGAACATTTCATTGAAATATATACCTCAAACATCATACAACTGATGCATCACTTTTTAAGCAGCATGAAGATGGTTGAAGTGGAACCAGGCCCACTACTTTTAAAAAGTTAGGGCCGGGGTAGAAGTTTAGTTACATACATCTGTACTAATTTTCTGGACTTTTTGTTTTGAGATATTTGAATATTTGACTCGCCCTAAGCCTTAAAGCAGTTCCTCCCAATCTTGTGTAGCCACCCCGACTTCTTATCGAGCCACTGACACATTGCTGTCAACCATTATCAGTTTTTTTTTAACAGTCTACTGAATAAATTATATTAAGTAAGATTGTTATACTTAGTAAAGTCCAAATCTTGTTTTGAAAGCCACAGAGCAGACAGAGCCTTGCATCCCTCCAATATTAAATGTTTGTATTAGGAGAGCTTTCACTGGTTAAAGTACAGCTGAGTCATGCGATTGTGTCATTCTGTAAAATCCAACATGAGTGAAGTTAAACAAAGTTTGAAGGTCATGAGTCATGAAGTTTTGTCTGTTTACAGGAATTTACCTGATTACAAATCCAACTTTCCACGACTATCATCTGTTAACTAAAGTCTGATTTTTTCTTAGCCATTTGAGATTCTACATGTCTACAGATGATACACAGCAGATTTTATCACAAAAAATTAACATAAAGACCCTTTGGGTTGCCAGATTATTCAAAGAAGTGTGTCATACCTGACTTAAAAACACATTAACACTAGAACGACCGGCATTCTATCACTACTAGAAAGGCCATAGCAGTCATTTTGACTGTTTACGAATTATTTGCATATCATTTCAATAATCAATATCAAATATAAGAATAAATGGATCTGTAATGTTGTGAAAGGTATAATAACCTTCAGGACACAAACATTAAATTCTAATGAATTTGAAATTTGAATAGTTTATCGACAACCACGGGAACAGCAGCCGGCGTTTTTTGCGAATGGGAATGATCTCTGTATCATTCTCAGGTTCAATCTCAGAGCCAGTGTCAGATGAAACGAGACCAGGAGACATCACTTTCTGTATCCGAACCTGCGCCTCCATCAGACTCTACCTCATCAAGGCTCTGGAGCCTCTGTGGCAGCAACCCACCTCCTTCCTGACATTTCATTCTATTCTGTTCTAAATCAGATCCTAATTTACTCTATTCTGCCTTTTCAATGTTGACTAATTCAAATGTATGTCTCCTATTTTTTCTGTATGGTTTTAGGCGGGTAAACTTTCTTTCCTCCTTGGCTCGAGCGTTATAAACAATAGTTGCTAGGCAACAGCGATGCGCACCTTCAAGTAGTGGTGGGCGATATAACGATCTTATATCGTGAGAGCAGAGAGATCGTAGAACCGGACTAATGTGTTTATTCTATCGTGCTGCAGTTTATGCTCTTACACAGACGCGTCTCCCCCTGTCCTTATTTGCTCCGCAGCGGTGAAAACGAAACGAAAAGTAAAGTCCGCAAAAACAACTCCATCTCGGTTATATGCAACTGTTATTGATATATTTTTCCAAACCGACACGCTGTGAGCAACAGTTAACTTATCTGCATAGTGTGCACAGTTAAGATTAGTCTACATCTCAGACAGCGACACAGAGAGACGTTAACACTCAGAGACAGACAGGGCGTAGCTCAGACAGTCAGTGGAGATATAACCCTGGTGTTTAAAATGTTGCTGTCGGTCTTTTCTGCTCTCTCCCGGTTTTTCAAAATTACCATCATCCTCTCCACCCAAAACTCACCTGTTGTGATAACTGAATTTATAGGGATTAGGCTAAACAATGTTACAAAGCAGCAGGCAGGTGAGAGTGAGTAACTATGGTGACTGTCTGTCTGTCAATCAACAATGTCCCGCCCCCTCTGTGAATTAAACTCTTCTGTCAATAAAACTTACTTTGATCATGTGTCACAGAATGAACACATTCTGTATTATGTTTGATTATATATAAACTAAACTAAAGTTAGTCCAATGATGTCATAAAAAACAACAAAGGCTGCAGAGCCTGTATGAAGCTCCAGCTGGAGGAACTTGCAGGGCTAAAATAGAACAGAAACACAAGAACTTGAAGTCTACATGTTTTTAAATGAATGCATCACTCCGTGAAAATGTTCCTGATGAACATAAAAAGAGGACACATAACTAAATCATAATTTCAAAGTGGTGAGGAAAACCTTCTAACTGTGCATAAATATTGATCAAATTCAGGGAAAGACATTTCTGTTGCTAAAGATGTTCTGGGTGAGAACAGACCTCCTACAAAGATGTTTTTCAAATAGATTAAACTTGTCTGCACAGTTTTTGTGCATTTAAAAAAACATTATACAGGGAAATAAGTTTGGTTGAACTGGTCAGCAACTTACAAATTTGTCTAAACAGTATGAAAAACATCGTGATAAAATCGTGATCGTGATTTTGCCAAAACAAATCGTGATATGATAGTTTTCCCATATCGCCCACCTCTACCTTCAAGAGCGGGAAAAAGTAGCGAATACTGAAATGATACACTGGCTATAATGCCTGCAGTCAATATGACCGCTATGGACTTTCAAGGTATAAATACTCAAAACTATTTTATGTTTTGTGTTTTTGATAAAATAACAATGCTAGAATAAAATATAGACACATTTAGGAAAAGTCATGGTCCTGTAGTTACATAGGTTTTATTTTAAGTAAGTTATTACATTGCAAAATTAAAAAACAGTCAAAATGACTGCCTTGGTCTTTCTAGTGTTAAAGACTTTATAATGAAACATTTAGTTTTCTTGTCTCTGAGGCCTGCAGGGTTGTGTATTCAGCTCCATCTCTGGGTCTAAGCCGTGAGTTCATATGCAGGCCAGTATTGATCGCTGTGTGTTTACATAGAGAGCTGAATTGTGTCTTCAACTCGTCCACAGTCAGTCATAACACACAGCCATGCATTCTGTGCTGATTCAGAGAAGTGCACTCAGTGTGCAGTGCTGTATACTCCGTGTTACTTTCAGTTTTCTGCTGTTAAGGTAGGAGTTTTATTATCTGTTTAATAGATTGCCTGCAGCTTCTTTCCTGTGGTTAAGTTTAATTTCTGTTGGGGTTGATTAACATAACTGTTTTGCTTTAAAAATGCTGATTCTTTTTATTCTACTCTCCAGTAGCAAGAAACTCAAAGGCTTTTGCTCCCCCCAAAAAATGATCTTAATATCAAATTTGTATTTGATTTTTATCTACATGTCACAGAGACGTTGCAGTCACAGCAGTGAACAACGCGGAGCCGAATGTTCGCGAAGCTCGGTCAGTGGGAGATCAGGTGATAGTTCATCCAGTGGACTGTGTTTTATCAGAGTGGAGTGCTTGGTCACGCTGCGACACCTGTCAGAAAAAAAGAGTGAGTATGATAATACCAGACAGGTGAAGGTGGACGTCGGGGGCCATAGAGCTACATGGCATTTTTGTTTAAAGTTATTTATGAGGAATGACCTCAATCTTAGCATGATTAAAATCTACTAGACACACACTATTGGCATTTGATAGAAACATTTGGGAAGGAAACAATTTAAATATGGGAAAAGATGATCAGCAGTACCTTTGAGATAATATTCATCATTCACTCCAAACATATGGTGCAGCTATAGGTGATGGTGGGAAAAGTGGATGAAAATCAACTTGTTTTCACCTGCATGAATGTGATTGATTAAGATATTTGGCTGAAACAGTTAAACAAATCAATCAGTTGATGCGAGCACAACTTCACCTCTGCGCTAGTGAGCCTATGCCTATGCCAGTTACTGTAATGTAACGTTACTGTATGCTAAATGTTTCCAAAGGTTAGACATTTAATTGTCTTGTTAGTTATGGAAAAAAGACCTGAATGACCCTCTATACTACCATGTGGAACATAAACTCATATAAATGATAAAATATAATAGCAGTAGTCCAGTGGCTGCTTCTCAACCATTGTGGGTGTTCAATATTATATATATAAAGAGTTGTTAGAGGACTGGTAAAGCTCTTATTTCTTCACTAACTACCTAGCTACAGCTAACTTAGTTTAGCACTCAGAAGAGGAACAGAAGTAAACAGCTGGCTTTGTTGTGTCCGGATCATATGGTCCTGATTGCCAACACTGTAAGCTAATATATTAATAGGTTGTCTATTGGGAAATAGATATGAATTACCACAATATTTCTTAGTCAAGTTATGTGTTTTGTTCCCTTCAGTGTTAAGCTAAGTTAGTCATTTACTGATGGAAGCTAGCATTCTGTATAGTAGCAGTCTCTACAGTAGTCAGGAAAGGGGAAGTGCAACACAAGAGCGGACCCAGAGGTGTCGTAAAGGTATCCCCGAAGGATAACCACAAAAAAACGCAAGCGATAGTTTGGAGAGGGGAGGGGTGGCAAGGAAATTGTATAGAGCCAGAACAACAACAAAAGGCTGGGGTATAGCAACAAAACTGCCCAGCGCCCCTAGTTATTCACAGAGAGATAGCAATGGCAAAGAATACACAGAAAGTTATTTGTTTGTGTTTATGCACACACTGCCAACGAGAGAAAACACAGGGAGAGTCAGAACAGAGCACCAGAGTCCAAGAGTAGGCCTATATATAAACTCCCCACACCTGGTCTTAATCGAGGCCAATCAGCTAAAAACACACCTGACTACACTGAGTTGATTCCTTCACCGACCTCAGTGAGAAGCTAGAGAGAGTGCCCTCACAGCAGCCTTCTCAACTGGCCCTTTGCAGTAAATCAAATTAATATAATCTCGATAATATTACACTTGTCCTGTAACTAAATAATATTTTTTTTGGAATAGCATTCAAGCTTCGCCTATAATCAAAGATGTGCAAAAGATGAAATAAGATTGGTTTTAAGGACTTCTTTGAATAAAATAAATGGACAATATTTCACTAAGTTACTTGTCAGACAAATGAATCCACCCAATCTATTTGAAATAGATATTTTAAATAAAAGCAGACATGAATCTAGTGATATTTCGATACATAGGCCTTTAAGATAGTGATAAAAATGAGAGATTACTGGATTTCTGCAGTCTCAAGCAGCCAACATTTTGACCCTTGTGAGCTGTATTTCTGTAGGGGAAAAGAGTTCCTCCGCTGGCAAGGGTTTCGGCTGATGTACTTCAGTGCTCCATTTCATCCACTTTACAAGAAGGGGGGATTAATAACCTTGACATGACAAAGTGAAAACAGCCCTCTAATGGGATTACTGCCGTTATAGTTCCTCTGGGCAGTTTTTCGAGCTCTTCCACAACCTTTATTGGGTAGTGGCGAGCTTTCCTCTGTGTTTCACTGACCGTTTATGTGTTTGTCTCCCTCAACTATACAGTATCGCTTTGCCAAACTGGAACAGCCGTCTCTGTTTGGAGGACAGCCGTGCAATTTTCACGGCAGAGAGGAGGAGGCCTGTGACGTTTCAGCCCGCTACACCTGTGACAATGTACCAATATGTGAGGGATTTCTCTGCACCCATACAGGTACCTCTTACATTCATCCTTATAAATACTGTTCTCTAGTTTAGAAAACAATATTAAGTCTGGTGTTATAGACTGGCTATTGGCCTGTTAAAATATCGAAGTCACAAGTTGAAAAATGTTATTAGAGTTCAATAGAGAATAGTTCAAAGTCAGTGACTCATCTTCATTTCCAGGAGGAGATTTCATACTTAAAGGAGTAGTTAACCATTTTTGGCAAATGCACTTTTCTTGCAGAGTGTAACCTGAATGATAAACTCTCTGATTGACCACTCTCAAAAGAGCGTGCAAAAATATGGAGCTAAACCAGCAGCTGGTCAGCTTAGCATAGCAAAAATACTTTAAGTAAAGGGCAAGAATGTTTCTTGGAAAGTCTACTAATAAAAAATACTGAAGGTCATTGAATTTACTGCACCCTACATGAAATAGTTTGAAATATACGCCTCTGCGCAATCAAAACTCATTTGTTAAGTGTGTGTGTTACCAAGTTGTGATTTCTACAGGGATGTGCTGGGCTAAATAACGTCCAAGTGCAGTGATTCTAACTTTTCAACCAAGATTAGCGGTTTCCAACTGACATCTGTTTTTATGCTAAGCTGTCCTAATTCTGGTTGTTTGCTATGTATCTTATCTAAATCTGTGTAATAATTCCTTACATCTTATTTCATATAAGCAGAATCCAAGAATGTAAACAATGATCTTGTTTTTGTAAGCGAACCTTAACTAAATGTTGCAGACATCTTCCTTCTCCTTCAGGCCGCTGTATTCCCCGAACTCTGCAGTGTAGCGGTGAGGATGACTGCGGGGATATGTCGGATGAAGCAGGCTGTAACAAGGTTGCCAAGCCCTGCAGGCAGGAGGTGGAAGAGTATTGGGGAATTGAAAATCTTGCCAAAGGGTGAGTCCTCCATCTATTAATCTGCAATGTGAGAGAGATGTTTTAATAGAATTAAATACGTAAAGATGTTGCTCCTCTAAAATCAATCTGCTCAATGATAAAGCTGTTGCGCCTCTTTAAGGATTAACATCTTGAACAGTAACCTGGAGGGAGAGGTGCTTGATAACAGATACTACGCTGGCAGCTGCTTGCCGAACTACATCCAGGACGTCAGATTCAGGAAGCCATACAACCTCCAACAGTACACTCTACAGGTGAAACTGACTGGTATTTACAGCTTAGTAAGGAGAAACTGAGAGTGGATGTATACGAAAGTGTAGTTTTTTAAATACACCATCTGCTTATAAGGGGTCTATTAATTGCAACTAGTTTCTTAGTAAAGATTAAAGTACACCTTTGTAGAATGGTTGGAAAACATTTTAAAAACAAATTTGAAGCTGACAAATTGTTGAAAGTCCAGTAGCACTTGCCAATTACTATGTAAAGAGTTGAGGGTTTTTTCCCCAACCTGGCAACTTAAAAATTCTTCTAATTAGCTGTTTTAAATGCTCTATGAAGTTTAAATAAATTACTTATTAAAACCAACAATGTTACAGTCTATAAATAGTTTATGAAGGATGACTCAAGGGAAAACTTGTTTTTTTATTGGAAGACTTTATTTTAATCTGCAATAATTATAGTTTCTCATTTTCTCATCTCATGCTTGTATCTTGTATGTTCCAACTTCTAAGCATAGTTAACAGGAACCGTTAACTTATAATTCTCTCTTCATGTACAAAAACTGCAGACACTTAACGAGCTTGTTGGTTGATTTTAAGAGGATATGAAATGACTTGGAAGCAGACACATCTGGCTGTAGATGCTTTTGACGAACATTTGCTGTTCAGATTTGTTTTAATGTCTAATGATGGATTTTTGCATTAGTATGTTTGGCTGCTCGTTGTTTGTGTGAAACTCTGTTAATTGTGCCGCTGCCTGTTTTGGCCAGGACACTCTGGAAAAATAGATTTTGAAAATGAGTTTATTTCCGAGTTAAATAAAGCTTAAATCAAAAAATTAAATATAATATCCTTTGTATCTACAGACAAAAGGATCGTATGATTTCAACCTGCAGTCGTTTGAATCGTACTCTGACTACATGGACTTCACCATGAAGGAGCGCACGATAAAAGTCACTGTTTCCTTTGGCTTTGCTATTCCTGGCATTGTAGAATTTGGCTTCAATCACCATGATTCCAAATACACCAAGTCTGTCCAGAAGATTCGCCGTGCTTCTGGCCGGGTGAGAAGTGATTTTTTTATAAACTCCTCAAGAAGTGCTGATCTGATTTAGCAGAGATAAAAACAAACAGACCAAACTGAAGAAATGTACCATTATTCCAAACCATCAACTCAATCAACATCTGCCTAATTACATTCCCTTCACAGACTAACAGCTTTGTGAGAGCAAAAGCAGAGCTGGAGTTGGCTCAGTACATGTTGAAGTCAGAAGGTCTGATGCTTCATCCAGAGTTTCTGCAGCACCTGCGCTCCCTGCCTCAGTCCTACGTTTACGGGGAATACAGGCAGATCTATAGAGACTATGGCACTCATTACATCACAGAGGCCGCGCTGGGAGGAGACTATGAGCACACCATCATCTTAAACAAAGAGAGGCTCGAAAAGACAGGTATCTTAATATCAAGATATCATCCCACACTAGTGGTAGGGTATTTATGGCACTTTGCAAGAATGCATACAAATAATGATTATGGCTTTTGCAGTACACTGATTAAACTTTTCAGCAAAATCCAGTAAAAAAAATAACATGATTTCAAAAGGTCTTTAACAACCTCTGACAGAGTTTTGTTCTTCTAGATTATTCCTTGGAAGACTACAAGCGCTGTACACAGTCAGGCCTTAAGGTTGGGGCCAACATCTATGGTGTTTATGTGTCAGCTGGGATTAGTGGTGGATCCTGTAATGGCCTGCTAAATGAGATGGGAGGTATGGTTGTGTGTTGATTTTAAATTTGTGCCTTTTTTTTTCTCTCATGAACTGATGCAAAACCTCTGAGTTCATTCTGTCTCTCGGCAGAGGACACGGTGAATGGCAGCATGGTGGAGGACTTTGTTGCTGTCGTAAAGGGAGGAAGCAGTCAATCCATCACTGCTTTGGTGTCTAAAAAACTTCCAACCCCTCAGCTGATGGGGCTATGGGGCGAGGGTGTGCGTTTTAACCCTGATTTTATTCGCACAACAGTGAGTTTCTCTTTTATACCCCAAATCTTATTTCTTTTACTATTTTTGTTTTTGAGACAAGGTATGCTCCCTTTCTCAATGCTCTCTTTTCTACATGTTTCACCTATCTCATAATTCAGTCCTCTTTTTGTCCTTCCTGTTTATTTCTTCATTTATTTCTGTAGTTGTAATACAACTATTTAAGAGGAATTTGACCTGAAAAATTGACACAAAAACATTTGGGTCAGAGGTGTTACCAAAGATTAGCAGAATTACAGAGGGGCAAAGTACAGCCAGGCTGGTCAATAGCCACTTGGAGAGAAAGCAGCTAAAGTTGCCAAATACAAACAGCCTGCTTTGCTCTAAACACATCCAAGATTTCAGGGAGCTCTGGGTGAAAAAATAAAAATAAATAAAAGGAGAGCTTGAACAATAAAAATATCCGGGTTTGTCAAATAATGACACATTCTTGCTTTAGACACGTCCGCTGTATGAGCTGGTGACCTCCAGAGACTTCACCCATCATGCCACCATGAAAAGGAACCTGAAGAGAGCGCTGTCTGAGTACCTGGCCGAGGCTGATCCATGTCGCTGTGCGCCATGTCACAACAATGGAGTGGCTGTGTTGAGAGGTACCTGAAGGTTACAGAGGCGGTAATTATGTTAGTGATTAAGGTGGTGAAATTACTATCTGTATCTCCCTCAACAGGCACCAGGTGTGACTGTGTGTGTCCTGTTGGATACAGCGGACGGGGCTGTGAGATCACTCAGAGGCCAAAAGGTTGATGCTACAGATCTAAGTTACAAAACACTGCATTACACTCTTATCTTTATTTGCAGTTAACAAACTGAGATATTGATGTGATATGGTTTGGGCCCTCTCTGACAGATATGGGCATTGACGGCAGCTGGAGCTGCTGGGGTGCGTGGTCATCCTGCAGTGGAGGAACAAAGAGCAGGAGTCGACAGTGTAACAACCCAGCACCCAGCAACGGAGGTCTGACCTGTCGAGGACTGCAGCAAGAGTCCACTGAATGCTTTTGATATAACAGCCTGTCTGACAGCAAATAAAGTTTTATAAAAAATCCTTTGTTTATTCTTTGGTATGTCTTTTACTGCCTAGCATTACATCATTAATCATACCTCAATGAGAACAGAGTTACAGTACCAAAATGATATATAATCACTTAAAGCTTCATAAAGATTTTTCATGTCTCTGATTGCAACTTTTTTGATTGGCCACAGGTAATGATCTTTTTTCAGCCTTCTATCAAACAAAATGAGCTTGTTTAAGAAATGTCGCGTATGAAATCGGCATCTAAAAAGACCTTGCAAAAAGTCCACACAGAACAACATCAACAAAAACAAAGTAAAGTCTGCAGTACAGATTTATTTAGTTTATGAATCATACTGTAGATCACAAAGCTTATTCTGAAAAGAGACCTAAGATTGCTCTTTATTCATAGCACAAACGTGTCGGGATATAAGGTTGTTATAAACAATCATTAGATCATTCTGAATGAACTCTATAGGCATTAACAGCGCTGAGTCTGAGAGGAGGAGCCCCGACAGGTTACTCCGCCTCCATCAGGTGCAGGGTTATCACAGGTTCTAGTCCGAGTCTTCCTCCCTGATGTACAGAATGACCAGCCCCCCCAGCATGACCACGAGCCATCTGTCTTGGTATCTGTTGAGAAAATGTTTTTTTAGGACATGTTAACACATTTGTTACTTTACCACATTATCTTACCAGCAGAGAAAGTGAAACAGGCGACAGATCATTCAGCTTATTGAGCAAATGGTTAAATGGGCACAGATGCAGAAGTGAGCCCCATTGATATAAAGCTTTTTATTTATCAGGTTTCAGGTGTGTCTTATTGAAGTCTAATTTGAGGTACTGCTTGGCATTTACAAGAATATTTGTTTCTTTCTCCATTATGTTTATCTGGCAGCTGTTTTTACCTATAACAAAATGTTCTGGATCATTGGACTGCCAGCAACATAAATGGTAAAGTGACTTGCCCTTGTATAGCTCAAGTCTTCTGACTACTCAAAGCGCTTTTACACTGCATGTCACACCTTCCCATTCACACCCATTCACAAACTGATGGGAAAGGTTGCTATGTAAAGTGACCATCAGAAGTAACTAATCTCATTCATACACATTCATATTCTGCAGAGGAAGCAGAGAAACTAGGTGTGTCTTGCCTAAGGTCACATGGGACATGTAGCTGCAGGAGCTGGGGATCGAACCCCGACATCCTGTTAAGAGGCGACTGAATCTACCAACTGAGCCACAGCCACCGTCACATTGAGAGACCCATTAATACTTATGAATATGTTAACTCAATTGGTATTTTAGTAAATTCAAGTGAAGATGCTTTTATAATTTCAGTTATCAGTGGAGTTTGCTGGATAAGAATTTGGTACTACTCATATCTTTACAGTAAATTTAAAGCAACAGCCAGCAAGTTAGCATAGCTTAGCATAAAGTCTGGCCTTTGTTTTCCTTACATCCCCAAGTCTTTCTTGGGCTAACATAGTGCCTCCATAAATTCCCATGCTCACTGCACCCAAAGAAGCTTTTATTTCTACTCTTTGGACTTTTATGCAGATGAAATAACCCCAACCCTTACAGAAAGTATGTTTTTCTGGTGCTTGTACTGTTGGAAGATATCCGTTCTTTTGAAAAAGACAACTGCTATGAGTCCAATTGTTAATCTAAGCTAGCTGTCTCCTGCCTCCAGCTGTGTTTTAGAAAGGTGTAAAGGGGTATTTATCAGGTTGTAAAACCGAAGGAAATCCTTTGAATGTGTTTCCCTTTGCGTATTCCATTCCTGACAAAAATCTCACCTCTTCTGAGAGTCTCTTCACAGGCATCTCCCTGGTAGCCTGACTTACAGATGCAGTCACAGGAGGTACCTTTGAGAACAGGGATCCCGTTGTGCCTGCAGGGGGCGCAGCGACAGGAGTCGAAATGCTGCAGATACTCGTCCCAGGCCGTCTGCATATGGGCCAGTCGCACTCCTACATGGTCAGCGGCTGTGCTGAGGCGCACTAGTTCATAAATGGGCATTGTCTGGATCATAGAATCGGAAGTTTAATGAAGAAAGGCGAGAAAGAGAAAAGTTGAGACAAGAAAATCACACAAACAAAGAGCATGTTGTGAAAAACACAGATCATATGAAAACTGGCGACCAAAATAAGCCTGTTTCTGACCTGAATATCTAAAGTAATGTTCTCCTAATAAATGTATGGCCCTCATCACTAGTTTCATGTATACTTCACTACAGTGCTATGTTTGTTTAGTCAATGACGGTCCCATTTAGAGTCCAATAAACAATAAAGCAGGCTATGTTTCATTAGGGAACGGCTTCCTTGTGATTGACAAGTCGCTACCACAGCAAGAGATGTAACAATGCGAAGCCCAGCTACTTGTGACCATATCTTTGGACTTGTGGTCCAAAGACCAACAGATGATGTCATAACAACTAAGTCGACTTTTCACACAGTCAATGGCTTTTTACATTTAATTACCTCATATTCAATGAGTATTGGGTTGTATTTTAGTGATGCTCCCCAGTTCTTGTAGGTTTCAGGACTCCTGAGAGCCGAAACGCCACTGCTGCTTTGTAGGATCCCCCCTTTCACCAGAGTTATAATGTCCTCAATCACAATGGAACTAGACGTCTTTTCTACATTTGAAGAAAAAGAAAACTCTCATTGTTAGAGAACAAATAAAGCTCCTGAACTTGGTATAAGTGTTAGGGTGGACCTCACTTACAGCGAGCTTCTTACAATATATTGATTTCTCACCTTGACCAAACTTTCCTTCTTTATTACATGAATCAGCTCCCACTTTGAGTCCCGCTGTTCCATAGCTGTCGAGGGGATAACTTATACCTATAGTGGCACCAAAGCATCTCCCAGCCTGTTCACCCTTCAGCTCTTTGAGAAAAAAAGGAGGAACATTAAACAAAGAAGACTTAATTTTTTCTGTCAGATCATTATGATTAAATAACTGGAAATCCCACATTACTTGATTCTGCCATGGATGTTTTGTTGACAACCACAACATACTCAAGGGTTCCTCCCATGGTTCCCTCTGTGACATAGTGGGTTCCAAATGTGTTGAAGAAGCGGGAGTACATCCCAAAGTCATACTGCTCAGGGAGCTCCATGAGTGAAATGTAGAAGTCTTCATGAAGCATCAACTTATTGCTTCTCATTTTGAAGTGGGCTGTTTGCACTTTGGACCAAAGCCTGACAAATCCTAGGTCCTGAGGTCAGAAAATAAATGGTTTATGGATTATAGAGATCTTTTCAGACATGGTAATATATTCATGATAACAAAAATGTAAATATATTATAAATTTTTGCCACGGATACCTAAAATAATTACATTTTTGGTCAATACATGCTACTCTGCTATGAGTTAAATTAGATCATTAATAACATCTCATTTTAAACTTATGAAGCTTCTATGATACACTTTCAGCTTAACTTCCCATTAAAATCGGAACAAAGGTTAAACCCTAGCCTTGTCTCAGTCAAAATGTAACAAAATCAGTGTAAAATATTTTCAGAAAAGAAATCATCTTGTTAGAATAATGTTCAACAACTTCTTTGCTGAGAATGGTTACTTCTTGGCATGACAAACAACGACAAAGAGGGACACTGTCAAAAAAACACCTCAATATTTTAATCGGAGGAGAAAGCTGACCAAGGCATGTTTTGCATTGATGATGATCAAGACTCTTCATCTGTCTATTGGATAATTATGAGACTGTGAATAATTGACAAATTAATATTTAATTTTGTCAATGACAGGATGCAGATAATAGCCTTTTTTTGTACGGATTAATCCAGCAAGATATACGATGATTGTTACTGAGCATCAAAGATAGACTGACTGTTTTTGTTATCTTTGGAAAGAGCAAGGCTAACTGTTAACATCTGTTTTTAGCTTTTTAACCAAACTAAGCTAACCAACTGATGATGGTACTTTCAGGTTTATTGGACAAACATGGGAGTGGTATCAATCCTTTTTTTCTAACTCTCATCGTGAGCAAACAAGCAACATATACCTTCAATTTTAACTATTAATAATGATGCCTTTGAATCATTAAACACAAGTGTTTGCTATTTTAATTGTGTCAAACACGTCGAGGAGTGAGTCAGCAGATAATACCTGGCTTTTATGTTGAGTTATGTTCTGGAGAAACTCAGATTCTGTACTCCCTCTCAGTCCCCCTTCCACATAATAGATCCCCACTGTGACACCGGCATTGGACGACTTGGTTTTTTTCCTCGCTGTAAGCAGGTCGACCAAATTCTCATAGTATTCATGAGAGCCCTCAGAAGTAGCTTCCGCCTGTACCAGGTTACATTTTTAATGTTAGAATTTCTAATCTTATGCAGTCAATAAATAAATTACAACATTACAATAGTTTACCACAAAACGGTAGGCATGGTAGTTGTAGGGTTTTCTGTAGTTCTTCTCATCTTCATTGTAGTGCAAGTTCTCACAGAATGAGTCATAGATGAATTTCCTCCAATCACCGTTGTAGACATATTCACACTTTCCTCCAAAGTACTTTGGGTCCAGTACACGGTCCACAAAGTCATCCGTCAGGGCATTGTAGCTAGACAAAATGAGATAATTCAAACGAGTAGTTGGCTAATTTGTCATTCCAAATGAGACATATCAAGCAAAGGAAGTAATGGCTTGACTCAACAATTACATTATGTCCATTTTTATCCAATCTATAATTACAATAGCTCTGCAGTGTTTACCCCTGAGTGCCACGTTCAGCACCAGGGATTGGCATGAAGGTGGAGCACTTGTCGTCTCTCTGGTTGAAGTTTACACAGTTGTCTTCATCGGAAAAATCATCACAGTCTGGCTCTCCATTACAGCGAAGGGACTGACTGATGCAGCGCCCTGGTTAGATACAGGAATAGTCTCACACAGATACTGTGCACGTCTAAAAAGACACCATCAGACAAAACATTTCAGATTAAAGATGATGTGACTTGCCTGTTTCTTTGCAGGTGAAT